AGGGGAAGTAGTAGGGTTTTGGTGTTTGGGAAGGGGAGAAGGGCGATTTTGAGGTCATATTGGTGTCGGGGATAGGAGGGGGGGCTAGTTCGTGGGTAAGGCATCCATGCTGGAGGTGGCTTGCTAGTTATTTTTTTTTTTTTGAAAAAAAAAATGATCAATCATGTTCTGACATGTGGCTATTAAATTTTTTAAAAAATTGCCTGTTTAATAACTTATCGGTCATTTGAAACTGATAAAAGCAAAATTCCAAAATTGAGGTTATTCAATTATAATTCAAAGTTGGAATTATTTAAAATAAATTGGACAATTTTTTTTTTTTTTTGGTGTTTAGAGAGGCACAAGGGCGGTGGTGAGAGTCGATCCCAAGATCTCCTGAAACCGGGAGGAAAGCTCTAATCACTTGAGCTATTCCTCACTCTCAATTGGACAAAGTTGAGATTATTGAACCCAATCTATATATTATACTAAAAGACAAGCGCCTCAATGTGAGGATGACAAATGTCACTCTCTCATTGGCTTGTCTTATGTATAAAATATATCTATATAATTACTGTTTACATATAGTTATTTTTGTTCAACTTTAAACAATAAAAGCAAGTTTCTATACATGCATAAGATTTTCATGATTTCCTAACATAAATATTGATTTAATTTTTAACAATAAAATATATACTTTCCAATACTACAAATAATCCATAACGTCTTTCCAATCTTTATTTGTAGTCAATTTAGAGAATAATAACTAATTTGAAGCAATATGATTAAAGTGGCATAATTAAGGAAACAAATATTTCTTATTTTGAAAGGATAATATTGTTTTTTTTTATGAAAATTAAATCAAATCAATAGAATTTAGTTTGACGTCAATTATGAAATCAATACAAACATTTAAAAAAAAAAAAATCAGATGTACAATAAAATATTGTGCACCTATTGTAAAAGCTACCCTAAAATGAATGTAATTATTTATACTTTATTGATAAAAGTTACCCAAAATAGTCTATAAATTATCCTAAACTCAATGCAAGTTATCAGATGAATACAAAAGTTTATGATAAAAATACAAAATAGTGTAAAAATTACTTTTGTCGTTTTTTGTACTATACTGAATGCTGAGCCGAAATATTTTCTTGGAAAAAAATATATAATCTTGAACATAAATTTAATTTTAATCGACTTTTCATTTTCTATACAATGCCTTTTACAATTACCTTTGTTTACATTAAAAAAAATTGAACCAAAAACCAATCTAAACAAGAAGAATAAAAGTTAGATTGAATTAGACATTTGAATAGATATAAAATGTATTATAACTATTACTCGTGTTTAAAATTGTAATATTCGTATTAAGTATTAACAATGCTATTACTTATGAATTTTTTTTAGAAAAACTAACATTTTGATTTAAAAATTGTGCATTGCTCATGTACTATACTAGATATACAACAATCATGTTCAATAATTTATGTTGTTATATATATATAATAATACTTTTAACTATAATTTAGACTTTCAAATCAACATTTTATAATAAAAAAAATATACATGTCATTTTTATTACACCTAAACATTATATAATAAGTCATATTGTTAAAGTTCTAATTATATAATTGAAATGTAGGTATGATACTATTTTCATGTACTTTACATTCTATGTAATTAAGTATAGTATGAAAGTTAATATATTTCGTGTAAAATAGTATGTGTAAATAATATAATATTTTTATAATATAAAAAAGTATATGTATATAATATAATATTTTATAACATGGGTCCTCCATACCAAGTGTACAGGTTGTTGGTGTAGTGGTGATTGAGACTACACTTGGTAGGGAGGACCCGTATTCGATCCCCTAGATGCAACAACAATCGAAAGGGGAGTGGAACCTAACAATCCAGAACTGATCCTCGAATCTGGATTAGCCCAAAGGGTGAATCGAATAGAACACCCAAAAAAATGATCGAGCAACTCAATGCATATATGAGCGGAATTAACTTATCCTCACTAGGCGAAAATATGAATTGGCCACCGGTTCAAACCCCCCCCCCCCCCCCAATGCCACCGGTTTTGAACCGGTGGTCATTTGGGGGGTGGCAATAATCTTATAAAAGCCACCGGTTCAAAACCGGTGGCAAAAACAAGTATTGCCACCGGTTAACCGGTGGCAATAATGTTTCCTGCTTTTTTTTTTGAATATTACATATAAATGTCACCGGTTAACCGGTGGCAATAACATACATGATTGAATTTTTTTTATTTTGCTACAATTATAATGATAATAGTAATATAAAAAAAACCGTGTAAAATATCAGGCAAATACAATAGGAGAGCAATGAAATATAATTTCATTATATTCAACAATAACAGTAATTGTACAATACAAAAAAAAAAATTACAATGAATTATAATAACAATGAAATTCAACTTCAAATTATTATTGTACAATACAAAATCAAAAAAAATATATAATAATAATTACAACATCAAAAACATTATTCCAAAATCAAAGTCTTGAATCTTGTTGCATCAATTAACACCTGCATCAATTAAAACCCAAAAATTAATAAACTCACAAAAAAATGCCTAATAAAAGCCAGAAAATTCGCCTAATAAAACATAGAATATCGGTTAACAAAATAAAACCCAGAAAATTCGTCTAATAATAATCGCATAAAAAATTAATACGAAAAGGATGAAAACCCAAAAAAAAAAATGTCTGTAGATCCGAAAAAACAAGAACTCTAGATCCGAAAAAAGTAATATGAAAATTAAAGGATGAAAACCCCAAAATAAATCAACTAAAATTAGTTTTAAAAAACCCAGAAAAACCCACAAAAATAAAAACAAAAACCCCGAAATTGATTTTCATGAACTCAGAAAAAAAAACCCAGAATTAAAATCGAATTAAACCTAAGATATCGAATTAAAATCGAATAAAAAACTCAGAAAATTCCAAAATCGATTTAAATCAAATTAAACCCTAACCTCGAATAATTAAACCCACCCACCACCATAACCACAACCACCACCACAACCTACGAATTCCATCAAAAATAAAATAAAAAAAAAAACAAAATAAGAGTAAGAAAAAAGAAAAAATACCTCGAATTTCACCAAAACCCCCCAAATTTATGTTGAATTTGGGTTATAAAACTTGGTGTAAATATGAATTGGCCACCCAATAAAACTCAGAAAATTCGATTAAAAAAACCCAGAAAAAATCGATTTAAAAACCTAGATAAATTGGATTTAAAAACCCAGAAAAACAAAGAAGAAATCGAATAAAATAGATTAAAATTAAATCAAATAAAGTTCGAATTAAAATCGAGTAAAACAGAATTAAAATCGAATTAAATTTTTTAAAATAATCGATTAAAATCAAACCCTAACCTCGATTAAAGTCGGTGTTGCTCATGCATGTGTTCGTGGTGTTATTGTAGCGGCGGTGGTGTTATTGTTGCGGGGGTGGTGGAAAAATTGGTGGTGGTGGAAAAATTGGTGGTGGTGGTGGAGATCGAAGGAGGAGAGGTGGTGGTGAGATCGAGGGAGAAGAGATGGTGGTGGAGATCGAGGGAGAAGAGATAATGGTGGAGATAGAAGGAGAAGAGGTGGTGGTGGTGGTGCAGATCGAAGGAGAAGACCGATTGAAGGAGATGAGAAAGAGAGGAGAGAGAAAGAGGAGGAGAGGGAAGAGGGGAGAGAGAAACGGCTGAGAGGGTGATAGAGTAGGGTTTGGGGTTTATATGAAGAAGAAGGGTCGCGCTTTTTTTTTTTTTAATCAAATATTGCCACCGGTTCAAAACTGGTGGCCTTAAACATTTTTTCCACTGGTTCGGTTTGAACCGGTGGCAATAATATTTACCTTATACCCGCCCATTTTTTAAGCCACCGGTTTATAAAAACCGGTGGCCTTTAAGCGGTGGCATTTTCAATTTTTCTACTAGTGCCTTTATCTATCTTATACAAAACTCCAAAGCTATATTTTTTTTTTCAAAATATAATAATAACATTTGTAAATTTTTGTTAATATGAAAGATATAAACCTATCAAAATGTATATATAGTTCAATTGTTTAATAACTTATATCAAATGCATAATTTTATTAAAATTATTTGCATGTAGTCATTAAATGTGTTGGATGTTGTGTAGCTATACAATGTTCAAAACTTTAGTTGAGTTACTTTGATTTAGTGATTGTACGGTAAAAAGATATTGACTTCGATCTTGAAATATAATAGTCTAATAAATTCTAAATAGAAAAATTAAAACAAAAGGAAATGAAAATAGCAAATGGCTTTAAATATTGAAATAAACATAACCTTTTAAATCAATTTAGCGAATTCAAGAGATAATTTTAAGGCTTTTAAAATTAAATGGGAGAAATATATGTAAAAGAACAATTTCAGAGATATAAATGTTCATGCACTATTATAAGAGTTTTGTTAACCTTTTTATAATTAAGATAGTGATAAATCTTAATATATACTCTGTATATTTTATTTATATAAATCCATACCTATATACGAAGTATTTGTGTTGTACAATATATTTAATCAAATGTTGGTTATATGACTATTATATACTACCTCCGTTTCTTTTTAGTTGACATGTATTCTTTTTTAGGAGGTATTTTTTAGTTGACACGTTCCTTTTGGGGTAACTTTTTTACCTTACATTTACGAGCTACCCCACTTGCTTTTTCATTCTCTCTCACTTTCTCTCCTCTCCTTAATATACGTGCCTAAGGGCCTGTTCACATTTACTGAACTGAGTTGAACTGAACTGAACTGAACTGATTGGAACTGAACTGAACTGATTAGAGCTGAACTGAACTGAACTGAACTAAATTAAATTGAGCTGAAATAAATATTTTATGAGAGAGGGAAATTAAGAGCTGAACTGAACTGAACTGATTGGAGCTGAACTGAACTGAACTGAAATTAAGTAAATGTGAACAGGCCCTAAATCAAACGCGTCAATTAAATAGAAACGGAGGAATTAATATATAGTTTTTGGCACAATGCTTAACTTAGGAAAATATATGTACTTGTAGGTTAAATATAGGGTTATTATATTATTGTGTCTATAGATTTGGTGAGTGCGTGACGGGTAAATAAAACATGTATATATTAGATTGATTGTAGCTACTGATGCGGATGGTATGATAAGATAATTTAAGTTTTTTTGTCAACGGGAGATAAATGAATTAGTCCACTTCTCTTATGTAGTTATTTTTTTTTTTAATTTTTTAATTTTTTATTTAATTTTTATGAGCACTTCTCTTATATAGTTATGTGGAGTATTATTAAATTATTTTTCAATTATTAAAATAACATTATAAAAATTAAAAAAATTCAAATAACATAAAATACTGTTCAAATAATGTTCCTTTAATTTTTTTTTATTGACCATCAGTAACCAAGTCTTTTATTAGTAATTGAATTACCTTTGTTTTTATTTTTCCTACGGGTTTAATAATTTGATTTATAAATCGTGCATCGCACGGGCACTATGTTAGTTTTCGTAATAAATTTAGTGTGCAGTGGATGGGGTCAAGACTCAAGACCACCTCATCAAGAACAAATCACAAGGAGAGACTTTCACTTCCATTTCTTTGCTAATAAAACATTACTCATTTCATATTTGCGGTGCAAATCATTTCAATTGCACCATTGAAGCAAACTCATCAGATGGAAGCTATGATGCTGAGTTCATCATCTCCACTCCATCTATCTCTCCCTCCAAAACCCCTTTTCACTTCCCCTCTATCCTTTCCTTCTCTCCTCAAATTCAAGGTAAACTCTCTCTTTATTCTCTACTTCTCCATTGGATCAACTAATCTTCTCTTTTTGTTTCTTGCCCTTTTGTCAATTCAATAACTTTTTCTCCATTTTCAGGGAAATTCAAGACATGGGGTTGTTCTACTTCCGGCGATGTGCATTCCAGGCCCAATTCGAGACACCGAGAAGTCTGAAGATGAAGAGGGGATGCAAGTTTCATCGTCTTCTTCGTCGCCGTCATCGTCGAGCATTTCTACATATAATTGGTGTGCAGGACTTGGAGGATTGGGATTCCTAGAAACTGCTTACTTGACTTATCTTAAGGTGTCTAATACTGAGCCATTTTGCCCTGTTGGTGGTGGGTCTTGCAGTGATGTTCTTAATAGTGATTATGCTATGATTTTAGGTAATGTTTAACTTTCAATACACAATTTTGTTACTTGGGCAATTTTAAATTGTTATTATTTTTGTTTGATGAACTTACTTTGTTAGATTGAGGATTTAATGAATTTGTTAGATGCATATTAGTGATCTAATTTGGCAATATGTTTCTATCTATGTGATTATTTGTCATCTAACATTCTTATTTATCAGCAAATCCAATCCAGAATTAGTAGCACGTTATACTGCTCTTGTAAATTGGTCATGCCTGATGTAATTCTCAAGTGTATCATGGCTGACATCAAAGCAAGAGTTATGTATTTCATACCGAAGAAAACCAGAGGCAGTGGCGATACTTGGTTTGACTGTTTGTTTATGAAGATTTGTGATTCATGGATACTAGTCGGGGGGACTGCCTTCCTAGAAAATGATCGTTTCTCCTAGTTCTTGCAATTGGTTCATGGGGTTTTTAAAACTTCTTATTTAGCTTAAAAAAAATTGGATGGAAATCATGGAATAATAGTTGGTTAGATCTTGTTTGATTACAATTCCTTCTTCCCCCTATTTTTCTCCTAAATAAGTTGGTTTTTTTTTTTTTTTTTTTTTTTTTTTTTTTTTTTTTTTTTTTAAAAGACCTCAATAAGTTACTTTGTTTCTCTGGACTTTTTTTAAGTGGCAAATTAAAATTACTTTTCATAAACTGTTAAAATAATTATGTATAATCATTGGTGATTATTCAGAGTTGGCATGTAAAATATATAGGCATTGCTCCTCTATCTACAGAATTGTGGCCTAATTTCGTGTCTCATGCATTAACCATCATAGATTATTTTTCCCCCAGTGTGTACAGTTTGTGAGTATAAAGAAATAGAGGCTGAAAACCACGTTGTAACTAAGATATTCAGCCTCGTAAACTCGTAAAGTACATAAAACTGCAATAATAGAGAGCAAAAATCTTCATATCGAATATTAACATCATATCGAATATTAACATCATATAAAATTTTAAGATGGCAGGATGACCACACCTTGTATATGTATAGCATTTGGTTCACATTACAAACCCTCTTTGGGCACAATTATTATGCTCTTTAGTAGGACTTGTTTGGTATGAAATGTTCTATCTCTGTCATTGGGCTTCACCGGCCTTGCTTAAACACTAGAAATCTTGTAAGAATATTTTATATAATTCACATGTGTCTTGCTTCCCCTCCTTTGAAGTGTATGCTGTGTATCACAGAACTCGTCATTTTGCCTGAGATTTTCTTTATTTTTCCCCTAAAAAAATGGATATATTATAACTGATGCTGAAGAATTTATTGTTGACCTGAATATCAATTTTAATATCTCTGCAGGTGTTTATGATCCTCCTTTTGCATTTGCCAGGTGTTCCTCTTCCATTAATCGGCATGACTGCCTATGGACTTATCTTTCTCCTTGGTTTGAAGTTAGGAGGGTGGAATGTGCCTCTCAAAATCAATCAAAGTGATGGGCGTCTACTTCTACTTCCTGTCTGTGCTTCCATGGCAGCTGCCAGTGCTTACTTTCTGTACACTCTGGCTACTAGACTTGAAGGAGCTTCATGTTCATATTGTTTGGCATCTGCTACATTGTCATTTAGTTTGTTTTTCATCATTTTAAAGGTTAGTCCCTCCTCTTATGGTTAATATTTTAAAAGTAATAATGCACTACCATATTTTTTCAGCAATTATTAATGGCTATGTATTACAGGATTTTGGACTGAAAGAGCTACAAAAAGTTGTCGCTCTGCCATTATGTACAGCTGCTATTGTGCTTGGAATAATAAACACCACCTACAATTCACTACCTCCAATATCACCAAGGTAAATACATTGAAATATTGAATGATATCTTACTCAAGACCCGAGACCCGAGGCTTTGAAAATGTTTGGTAGATGCTTTTGTCATGTGTTTGTTATTTTTCGGGGCAAGTCAGAAAAGATTTTAAATGACTCACATAATATATGTAGTATATATTCAGCTAGGCTTACCCTGGAAACGATTTTTGTTTGTCTTGGGCTCTGAGCTGGATCCATGATCTATTATCTCCACACAAAGTTTTTACCGAAACATGCTAGATCTACATCATGTACTCATGTTTCCAGTTTCCAATGACTTCTTTGCATGGGGATGTATGGTATCCAAGCCTATGACATTCAGTCATGCAAATTATTGCGACTTTTGCACATATGATGGTTTTCTTAAAGACTTGGTAGTCTAAAGCATCTCAATCATCTTACAGTGGGATTATTTGTATTTTTTGTTTGAATCAGTGGGATCATATATAACATGACTAATATATATTGATTTTTGTTAGACCATTGGCATAAATTATCTTTATTATTTTTACTATTTTTATTGGTGGTTTTTTTTTTTTTTTTTTTTTTTTTTTTTTTTTTTTTTTTTAATAATTTCAAAGAAACAATTAATATGTTAGTGGTGTTGATGAGAGCTAAATGGCTAGGGTTTGTGTAATTGCCTTTACCCCTTGAATCATGTGGTTCACTCCACTCTTGCTTATTGGCGAATGGCGACGAGAGAGGGAGAGACGACGTGAGGATATTGTATGAGCTACAAGTGGGAAAGGGGGATTAAGATTGGTGGCTTAGATCTCAATCATTAATCCTCACTATCTTAACTCTTAAAGTGCTTTATTTTGGAAATACTTTCTCCTTTTCCATATGATCTACATTTTCTACTTGTACAAATTTAAGAAAATTGGTGAGTGTTGCATATGAGCCAACCTTATATTAATTTATACTAGTTTTTTGCCCGAGCAACGCTCGGATGTTCACAGGAAAAAAAAATTATATTTATATAATTATATAAGCTTGTATTTATTATAGATTTTGTATACATTTAATATTTTATTTCTCAAAGTTGTTATTTTTCTATTATGTATGCTTTATTTTTTTTTTTATTAATTATCTTATTATTTTTTAAGGAAAAAAAAAGTTTTTGGCGGGAAATTTTTTAATATAATCGCGACACGTGTACCTCTAGAATAATCTTGGTGATTACTTTAGTATATAGTTAGTGACGGATCCGGGATTTCTAACCAGGGATAGCATAGAATGATAAGGAAAAAAATAAAAAAGTTCTACAGTATATATTATTATTTAATAATTGGAAAAATTGTCAAAAATAATACAAACTTTGAGCGGTCCGCCAAAAACAAGTTAAACTTTTATTTATTTCTAAATAATACAAACTTTAGGGGGTATCCGCTATAAACAGGTTATTTTACCACCTGGAACCTAAATAACCGGTTAAGATTTGTTATATTTTTGATAAATTGTTTAATTAAGTTGTAATAATTGCTTTAATTATAGTTTACCTCAAAAAAATTAATTATAATTAATTAACAATTTAATTATTACTTTTCATAAAAAAAATATTATTAAAATATTTTAATAAAAAAAACACTCCTCCCTCATCGGTCACCGCCGGCCACCTCACGTTCCCCACCAACAGCTCCCCTCCCCAAACTCCCAGCGGCGCCCGCTAATCACCTCGCCAGTCTGCTGGCCATTCTTATCTTCGCCGGCGTCGCCCTCCCTTCCCTCGTATCAATATCACCGAAACCCCATTCCCCTCCCCTCAAACCACCAACGAAATCTTAAACATTGGAGTAATGATAATTGAAGCTTCATCGGAGTTAGGGTTTTCACTCGCCGGAGTATTGACGATTGGTTACTGTGATTTCATAGGGGGAAATCATCATCGTCGCCGAAGAAATCATCATCATTGTGGTGTTTCTGATTTGAGTTCGGGCAGCGAGTCGTGCGGCAGTGACTCACGCAGCTGATTATTACGTGGCAGGTAGAAGTTGGGGAAGGGAGAGGGAGCTGTAGGGAGGTCGGGGTTGGTGTCGCCGGCGCAAGAGGGCAGGGGCTGTCGTCAGAGGTCCGGGAGTGGAGGAAAGGGGATGTTGGCAGGGAGGAGAAGGGGTGGGGGTGGCTGGTAAAGGAGGTTTTTATTTATTTATTTATTTTTTTTATAATAAAAATATTAATAACATAATAAAAATAAATATTAAAGACATTAAAAAAAATAAAAAAAATTAAAGTGTTAAACCAATAGAATAACGACATGTGTCCCATAAACCTACTAATCAAGTCACCAATTGGTTATAACTCGTTTATAGCGGATACCCCTTAAAGTTTGTATTATTTAGAAATAAATAAAAGTTTGACCCCAATTTTTCCTTAATAATTAGGTTTTAACTTTTATAACATTCAATTTGGTGGATAAATTTTCATTTTACAAATATGGAATAATTTATATTCTAGTTATCAATATGATCAAATTTATTTAATATGTTAAATAGGAGTAGTACATACAAAGTCATATACTATGAAATTATATTACTTAATATAAATTATTGGTTTACTCATATAAAACTAAAAGTAAATATATTACTTAGCAAATAGATATATACATTGAAAAGTGCATCAAAATTGGAAGTATTTCATCCAATGAAGGAGTTTTTTAAAAAGTAATGATTTCATTTTTTTTTTGTTATGTTTGGTATTAATAAATCAATTAACAACAATTAAAGTATAAGTACATAATATAAGTATAAGTATAACAATTTCTTATAACTTAAATGAGATTTAAAAAAAAAAATAATAATAATGTTCAAATAAAACAGGTCTCTCATGTAGAAATATAAGAAAAAGTAAAATCCAGGACCACTATATATAAAACAGGCCTCTTATGTACAAATATAAGGAAAAGTGAAACCTAGAATCTAAGAGACCTGTTTATAACAGGTCTCTTATATTTTTAACATGAAAAGAAGTGCGCTTTGTTGTGATTTGGTGTCGGCCTTATGGGCAAAGGCAGTCTCAAAGAGACCGGCTTTCTTAGATAACAGGTCTCTTTGAACAACCTTCTTCTTCTTTTTTTTTTCTTCTCTAGGGGTAGCATGTGCTACCCCTTGTGACTTCGTGGATCCGCCACTGTATATAGTATAGATTAGCCATGTATTATCTTCATAAGTTAAACTGATATTAGCCGAACTTATATTAGATGAACTTATATGAACATATGAGCCTTGATTTACATTATTAGAACTTAATCAATCTTATTTTACCTAAAATGAGTGAAAACAAAGTGAGTGGTGGAGAACAAAGCCTTTAGGGACATCATGGAGGTACCCATAAAGTATGCCTATAAGGCCTTAAAATTCATAATGAATACATAAAGGAAAGCAATAAAGGAAGGTAGATTCCACCATCCTCCCCCACTTAAAAAGTTTACAACCTCATCAATTTACGAGAATTATAAAAAGAAAGTGAAGATTTTATCCAAGTATCATGGAATCTTAGATTTGTGTCTTTGTTGTTTGCGGTCATAAAAGTAATCTTAATTATGGTGGCTTCTTTCTTGTTGGTGAGCAAGCTTCTTTGGTTCCATTGTGCTTTCATACATCTCCGGAAAGCCAGCTTTTAGTGAGCTAGTTGTACTTGTTTGTCCTTGCGTAACACCCATAATAAAATATTCCTTGTGAACTACGGTGAATTTTTTTCTTTCTTTCCAGTCAACCAACTTCATCATCTTGGCTTTTTAGTTGATTGACTTCATGTTAGTGCCTTCTTTCTTGGTTCATAAGTCATTAACGCCGCCACTGAAGAAGTGAGTTGCTCATCTGTCCTCCATGGCACAAGTGTTTCACTCATTTACAACAAGGTCAACAAACATTTACTCATCGGAGGACTCTCTTTTGTCTTAGGAGCTTCTTTGCTCATTGCATACAATTATAGATGTCACCCGTTTTATCCAATTCCTTATATTTACCATAGGTCAATTCGTTTGCTTGATTTTTTTGTGACTTTTAGTCAAAATATTTTTTCTTTCCTTTCTGTTTGCACTCCTACCATTTGTGTAGGCATAGGTGTTGGCATAATATGTTGTTGTGAAACCTATATATTTCAAAGAAACATGCTTAATTTTGATTCTCATATTGTTGTGGAAAAAGGACGACTTTAGCCTTTTAGCGTTAGGTCCTCCACTTTTTCTTTTATCACCTAGTTTAATGATGTAGATAAACTATTCCTCAAACATTCATCGTAGGCACTTCTTTAATAAGCTATGGCCTTTTGAAAGGAGTATTTCACTAATCTCTAGAGTCATATGGTTTCTATCTAAGAATCTTATGTTTAACTTATTCTTTCAATCTATAGATGACGATGAATAATCACTTTTCGTTAGTCTCAATTATCCAACATCCAAGCTAGTATTCTTTCACATAGTTGTGATTTGTGAAAGAAGCCCTTGTGTTGGATGTTTTACATCTTCATTTAAGTGGTGAATTTAGGGATTCAAGATAAATAATTGAGTTCAATCTTGACCTCCTCTTATTGGTCTTCTCAACTTAAATTTTGCGTAGTGGGCCCACCATAACTTGGCATTGTATGATAAGTACATGATTGTGTCCCCCTTGGGTCATACCTCAATTAACTCCGGGAATATGGTATGAAGTGATGTGTGGCTATGGGTTGGTGCAAGAAGTGAGATAAAGTTGGGGCAGCTGTTTGCAGTAATGATGGAAATCATGGGATGTTTTGTGTGTTGTGCATTGGGTTGGGTAGTGATCTTATTTGGTGGAACCACATGTGCTATGTGGGCAAGATCCAAATCAACATTGAGTTTGCATTATGCTGAATTTCTTGTAAACATACATGATATCCAAGGGAGTTTGTTAGGAAATTATTTTAGGAGATTTTAATTTTGCATAGATGTAATGGGAGTAGGTTAAGAAGTTAGGAGTCATAATACAAGGATTTATAGGCTCATTGTTTGCATTGTGAATAAGATCTAGTGTGTATGTTGGGGGGAGGGGGGTTCTCTAGAGAGAGACACCAATATTGAAGTGGCTCAACAGAGTTAAAGTGAATTAAAGGTAATACATCAAATTTATGGATGTTAGTAACTTTGTATTATTTATACTGGTTTGATTAATGATAAAAGTTTGGGTGTAATTGTGCAAGAGACCTTCTACCATTTGAATTATTGTGTTATCATTGTTAATTTGCTATGCATATATTGATCTCGAATATATTTCTGTACTGTTTGTTGTTTGATGGTGACCTATATGGGGTTGGATCTCCTAACAATTGATGAGTCACTAATTGAAGTCGTGTTTCTTTTTTATTTTCACTGAACAGATCAGAAGTCATGGAAGTCCCTTATTATACAACAGAGATTACTTCAGCATCAAGTCCATATGCAATTTCACTTGCAAAACATCTCAAATCTACAGGGGCAAAAATGTATGGGGCTTTTTGGTGTTCACACTGTCAAGAACAAAAACAGGTAATCACTCATAAGTCACAACTAAACTGATAGTGCAAAGCTAATGAAATAAAAAAACTTGTGTCATGATAATTCTGCATCTTTTTGTGCATGTGTGCCGTACCCAATGTATAAAAAATGCTCAAGGCGCGCCTTAGTGCACCTCTTTGAAGTGAGGCACACTATATAAACAGTTAAAAAATTTGGCAGAAAATTGCTTTAGGCGCGCCTTGGGCGCTTTTGGTGCGCCTCGGGCGCCTCTAGTGCGCCTTATTAAAACCGCCTCGCCCAGGCCAAAAAAAGCGTTTACCCCCTATTGCCTTGCACCTCAGCGCCTAGGTGCGCCTTATCAGAAACGCCTCGCCCAGGCCAAAAAAAAAAGCGCTTACCCCCTATTGTCTTGCGTCTCATTGCCTAGGCGTGCCTTCGGCACGCTTTTTCAAACACTGGACGTACCTATAGAATTTCAATTTGGTTGATCCTAGCTCTTTAATAGTCAGGTTATTTCATTAGTATATTTTTTTGCTGTATGGCTATCTCTGTTGGGCATGGTCTATCTTCTTATTTTTCTTGCTTGTTTTTGGTAAATTGTTGCCTTTGTTATAAGCTATTTTGCATACAACATGTCCACTATTGTCAAGATTACTCCTAATTGGCTTTATAGTGAGATTAGAATAGTATTTGGATCTTCAATTGTTCAATGCCCTAGTCTATGACAGGATCAATGTAGCTTGGTGTTATTTTGCTTGTGTTATTGTGTAAGTTTGAGTTTTGGTGGGGAAGGGGTGGCGGGGAGGTATTGTTTGGAGGGGATGAGATAATGAGTGTTGCCTAATGCTATTTCCTCATTTGAACTTCTTCACCATTAATTTATTTAAGTCACCAAGGCGCACTAAATCACAAAATGGCTTAAAAGGATCCCTATTGCCGAAGTTTGTCTTGACCCTTTCTATGCATGCATTTGTGGTTAACTTCTAGAATCTTTCGATATGGCATATCTGCCTAATCTTCTGTGATCATGGTTATGCTATAATGCATCTACCTAACTCATAAAAAAGCTCGTGGATTGGATGGAATATCAAAGAAACACCCCTATCAGCAAGTGTACAATCAAAAGCATTAAATGCTGAAGCTCAAGAAATCACAGGGCTCTTGCTTTATTAACTAAAAAAATCTGCGGAGAAGATTCACCGCCATTGAAAAAATCTAACTTCTGTATGATGGGTTTTACCATTCTATCCCATTGCTTTCAATCCCTTTTTTTTTTTTTTTTTTTTTTTTTTTTTTTTTTTTTTTTTTATTGCAATCCTGCTTATTGCTTGGTTGTCTTTAAAATCAGCAAATTCATCAGTAGGCTATGTTACTCTGTCTTGGACACACGTCAAAGTTATTACACAAAAGTGACGTGTCAATGGTTATTTAAGAATAATGTATCAGTGTTTCATGGTTATTTATATATGATGTAGTTTTGTGATATCTCTGAAGTACACACCAGGTCTTGAAACTGTTTTTAAATAGGTACCTCTGCCAAATCTAATCTGAGCAACAGTTGAAGTAGTGAATTTTTAATCATATTTTACTATAATGAGTTTGTTAGGTTTATGTAATATAGAGCTTAATTTGTACCTTTGTGAAATATTCATGGCACATACTGCACATTACACCAATTGCATTCTCATCAAAGTAGCTATTTTGAACTCCTTGTTAAGTGTCATGATGTGGTTTCATTATGGTGAAAATTTATTTTCAATGCTTTGGTAAGCAACCCTTATGTTTAGCAGGATAACAAATTCAATATGATTCCCTGTCTATAGATGTTTGGACGTGAGGCAATGGAGCTGTTAGATTATGTGGAATGTTTCCCTGATGGTGTTAAGAAAGGAATTAAGATTGCTTCAGTTTGTAGTGATGTTGGAATTGAAGGATTTCCTACTTGGCTCATTAACGGCGAGGTGAGTCTACTGTGCTTGCAGCTGATTTCATCGTAAAGTTTAGATATTTCTGTAGCTTTCATGTTATTATTTTTTCTTCCCATTGTGCACTCGAAGTGGGCTTAAATTCTCAAAGGCTTTCTTTAATCTTTAACTTCAGCTATTCCTTTCACCCTACTTTCATTTAGCATGATGTAGTAAAGAAGCAATTTGTAGGCAAGAAAAAACAGTGAGGTTTTTTTGTTTGCTGCTGCAGTTCTTGTAGGCATTTCAAATTTTATCCACTTTGTTGCACATTATGCGCAATCAACATTCTTCGATTCAACATTATTCTAATGAATGTTTCACATCTCAGCAAGCAACTTCTCTATATAAATGGTAGCTTATATGTATACCCTTTTTGTAGGTAATTAGTGGAGAAAAGACGCTTGAAGAACTTGCAGAAATATCTGATTTCCTTTATGACGCTGTAAATCAACCTAATTAAAACCATGGACTCCAATGGTATGTAATTAAGCTTTGTTAGAGAGTTCTTACTGGAAGGTTTGTACAATAGTTGCACTTATTTAGGCTTAGTTACATTTTTCAGATTTTTATCATATGAATAGTTCATGTATGCTACAAGCTATTCCTATTATATACACGAGAAATATTTGGGTTTTTGTGTGCTTTTAGCTTTATGTGGGGAAAAAAACATATTTGAAAATCGACACTTAAACTTGTTAATATGGTAGAAGCCATCTTAATTCCTTTCTTAAACCTGTACGAAGATTAGAAGAGTAGGATTATGAAGAGTTTAAATGAGGTAAAGAGAGATTGAAAATGACTTGGTTGGAAGGAGTTACGAAGGATATGAAGTATATGGATTTGCGAAAGAATGAAGTATTTGACTGTAAAGAATGGAGGAGGAAGATTTTTGTGGATGACTATACCGAAAATAACTTTGGTTTAGCAGACCTCACTTATAGGATTAAGATTTTGATTGATTTTGGACAATTAGGGTTTTCGGGTTTTTTTTTTTTGGGGAGGGGGGTGACTGTTGGGGTTGTAAACGTGTAGTTGGGTTTGTTGAAATCAATTTTAGCATTGAACTAAACACGTACGTTATCATGGTTTAATTCTAACTTTATACTCCGTATCACTTTGTAAGCCAATCACTCTAGTATTGGTGCTTAACAACCCATAAGATCTTATTGAATGGCCAAGGCCTTATTCAGGTAAAAACAATTGCGCTAATTGTTGTTACTTGTTTGCATACTCAAATTACACGTACTATCATTTCGTAGTGTTTGAGAGTGTGAGGGATAGCTCAAGTGGTTAGAGCTCCCCTCCCGATTCCCGGTGATACTGGGATCGAAACTCATCACCCGCCCTTGTGGCTCTCTAAACAACAACAACAAAAAAAAAAAAAATGACACTAAATCCTACCCATTAGTTATTGTCAAATCATGGCTAAATCAACCTGGATGTCAACATTTTAATTCTTTTTTCCAATTCGGCTATTCGCCTGCAGCTGCAACTACTACCAGGAGAGTAAAACAAAAATAACGTTCATGTATTTCAACGAGGAAGTACTAAAGGAGGTTAGTTATGTATATAGAAATACATAACATGGCATTGTTGTAAATAAGTAGCAACTTTTATTGTAATGGTTTTGCAATTTGGAGGGAAAATGTAATTGTACAATAAAACTTGTAACAGTGTGGGACCATTTGAAGGATTAAAAAAATATGTTGAGTAACCCCACGTTACATATCTGTCTTTTTTGTCTAACTGGAACATTCCATTAATCCCCACCAATATTTGTTGCTTTGTGCTTGTACTTTTGTTCAAATTGAGTTCCTCCCCGACCTTGGCAACGAGGCAAGGTTCCACAATTTTGGGGAACCTGCCACATTTTGCGTTCTAGTCTTCACTACAATTTAATGAATTGGAAGAGTTAGCACTTGGATGATGGAGTATTTGGAAACAACTGAGGACCTTGAAAAGTACCATGGTGGTGAGTATGGAGTCAGCGTTGATGCCGAAGCCGTTGATGGGGCCGTAGTTATTGATGATGACGTGGGTGATGGCGGTGCTGCGGCGTTGGAGGCCTTGTTAAATCAGGTAAAGAATTTGCGATTTTTGTTTTAAATTAGGGTTTTGCAATTTGTAGGCGTAATGGTTGATAATTAAATATTAGCCTTTTAAATTATTGATATTATGTAAATAGGGTGTTTAAAATTCTGGGTTGATTGTTGTATTTGATATATTTGTGAGTAAGAGAGTAATTTGGTGTTTTCATAGGTTGATTCTTCGTATATGTATATGAATCTCTGCGTTAACTCGCTTAGTTATTTGAATGTTTTGCATAGTATATTGTTACGTTGATGACTGTTTTGTAGAATGGTGTGAATTATGGTTGTATAGAAAAGTGGTAAGTTGTGGATAAATTTTTTTTAAATGTTGGTATAAATAGGTAAATTGAGGTGAGATTGATGATTGTTGTATGAAATGTGTAATGTAGGTTGTTGGGGAGGAGTCTTTTAGGACTCCAAAGAAAGGTAAGAGCAATGTTTTAGTTAGTGTTGAGATAGAAGAGCCCGTGGAATTGGAGTTGGATGTACCTCTCCCGCCTCCTGCTGTAGGAATGGTGTTTGCTTCTATGTTGGAGGTTGATGAGTATTTTCGTAATTATGGCCAGCAGTAGGGGTTTGGTGTTGTGAGGGCTAGTGGGGCTAAGTCTGGAAAAGGTATGAAGCGTAATTGTAGGTGGACTTGTGAATGTTTTGGTAAGACTGTACGGAAGAGGAAAAAGCCTGAACCGAGGTTGGTGTCTGATGCTCAGATCAGTGAAGATGAAGACTTGTGTCCTAAACGCAAGTCGAAGAAATGTGATTGCACTGTGTTTCTATATGCCAAGGTCAATAAGTCTGGGCAATGGATTATTAATAAGGCCTATTTGACACATGTTGGGCATAATCCTACTCCTGGAAAATCAAAGAACATTAGTAGGTTTAGGAAGAAATTTTTGGTGGATAATCCTCATCTTGTGCGGCAGTTGTTTATTGAACGAAAGGCTGGGGTTCCTGTGGCTAATATATATAGAAGTATGGCAAAGCAGAGGAATGGGTTGGAGGATATGTCGTTTGAGCACAAGGATTTACATGCTGAAGTTGCGAAGCAGAAGAAACTTGTTTTTGAACAAGGGGATGCAAAAGTTATGTTTGACTACTTTAAGAGGATGCTTGAGGACAATGATAAATTCTTTCATACATATCGAGTTGATGAAGACGGTCGGTTGAAAGATGTTCTATGGGTTGATGCTAGAAGTAGGGCGGCGTACGAGGAGTTTGGTGACGTCGTTGTCTTTGATTCCACGTATTTGACTAACGAGTATAAGCTTCCTTTCTGCAATTTTGTTGGTGTCAACCACCATGGGAAGACCATTCTGCTTGGTTGTGCTCTTGTTAGTCGTGAGACTGCCGAGACTTTTGAATGGGTATTTTCAAGTTGGCTTAGATGTATGGGTGATAAAGCTCCTATTGGGATTCTAACAGACCAAGATCCGGCAATGAGGAAGGCATTGAAGGCGGTTATGAAGGGTACGACGCATAGATGGTGCATTTGGCAGATTCTCAACAAGTTCTCTCAGAAGTTAGGCAAGCGCATTTATTACCCTGAGTTGAAGGAGGGACTGCACCGAGCTGTCTATAACAACCTTGACTGTCAGGAATTCGAACCAATGGGGGCCTGAGGTAATTAAGAAGTATGAAGCTGATGATGATGAGTGGCTGGCAGGTATGGTCTTAAAGTGATTGTATATTTTCATGTAGATGTTTTATGTATTTCTCTTGCCTTTTAATGTTGATTTTGGTGGTGATTGATTAGGATGAAATATAGACTAATGTATAATTTTGTGTTATTTTTTATTTCCGGGTAAAAATTTACTATGTTCAATGACCCCTCATTGTGATTATTTCTGATTGGGTGTTTGGCTACAATGGTGTATGTTAGGGTTGATTGAAGAAAGGGCTATGTGGGTTCCCGCCTTAGTGAAACATTTGTTCTAGGCAGGATCCCAGAGGGTGGAAAGTATTCATAGATTTTTTGACGGGTATTTGAGCAAGCACACCTTGTTACATGAATTCGTGGAGCGGTATGAAGAAGCGCTCTGGGTAAGAGCATCAACAGAAAAGAAGACTAGACTGATGACAACAACGCTAGATATGTTAGGAAGGCGTGCACCGACTTTCCCGCTGAGCTACTCTTCCAACAGATTTACACTGATGCAAAATTCAAAGAAGTTCAGCGTGAATGTACACGTATGATGTATGTTAGTGGTATTGAGAGAAGACAAGTTTCTGAGCAGGTGCTTGAGCATGTAATTGAGGACAGAGTTTGGTACAAGCCCCAAAATTCAAAGAAAGAGATACCGTCTAAGCGTAAGCGTAGATATGTGGTTACTTTTGACATTGTAACCAAGGATGCTTCTTGTGAATGTAAGCACTTCGACTGTCATGGAATTATCTGTTGTCACATAATTAAGGTTTATGAGTTGCATGACCACTTGGATATTCCAGAGAAGTTCATCTTGAAGCGGTGGAGGAAAGATGTGATAAGGCCGTACACCCGTGTCAAGGTTGGTTATCATGATCCAAGTAAGACAGAGGAGGTTTGTAGGTTTGATAAGATGATGGTTAAGTTTAATTGTGTTTGCTCTAAGTCGTCCTTCCGCAAAGAAACAACGAAACTTGTTCTTGATACGCTTCAGTTACTTGAGATTCAAGTGAATGAGATGGTAGACATGATTAACAAAAAGGCTGAGAACAATGGGGGTTGCTGTGTAAATTGGCACACCCGTTACCCCATCCACCCAGAGGCAAGGAAGTTGTCCGGAGATACCCAAAGATCCTCCTATACCGAAAAAGCCACCTCATCGAACAACGGATGTCCGATTCCCATCCTGTATTGAGAAGAAGAAGGGTGGAAGGAGTAATAATACTTGAAAGACTTCTAGCCAAAAAAAATTGTGTACAACAACAATTTAGCACTCCCCCCAACAGCCAGGTGAGTAATCTCCCTATTCTTCAATTTTTTTTGTTAATTTGTTTCTGTTAATCGACCTTGCATGTCAAATGAATTCGAACTTTTGTTGTCCATGGACCAGGGTTTTTACTTCCCATATAGCCCCCAATCTGTAGGAGGTATTCAGATGGTTGATGGTGATGGATCTATTGGCTACTTCACTGGTGTTTCCGGAGGCCCGATTGGGGCAGGTCATGTTGCAGGGTCTGAGACTGATCGTCAAGCCCCGTATCGGCCCGGTTTTTTACCTTATTTCTACACCCAATACATGCCTATGAATGCAGGAGCTGTAGGGGCAGCAATTCCCAACTTCCCTCCCACCCCTCGGTCCTCAGCTTGTTCCCTAGCTGGTGGGAGGCCTATTTTCAGACCAATTGCTCCAAAACCCCCAACGCCAAAGTCTACCCAAGGTTGGTTCCAAAAAGCTGCTACTCAACTACAGTTTTCCCAAAATGGTAGCCAACAATCTCCAAAGTAACCATCCCCTTCCACATTTAACCCGGGAACTATGTAGTAGGTCGTGGCAGTTGTGAATATGGTGAACTAAATTTGTGTTGTTCACCTTTTTTGGAAGCGTAAATGATCATGGAGTAAGAAACTAATTGATTACTTTTTGATTATTAGGACAGTTGAATTGATGGACAGGTGAATTGAACGAGTACCTAAATTTTTTGTAAAGAAATCATTTATGTAAATGGGAATCTGTCCTATTGGTTGCCCAAATTTTTGAATGATACATTATGTTGGGTATTTTGCTGTGCTTTTGCTGTACATATCAAAACACTAATGTTATATATTGTCTCGTTAAGTATTGTTCCTTAATTTGTTACAAAGTCCCTTTATTTTATTTCATGTGACAAATTCCAGTATCAAAGTAACTATTATTATCATAATTTGTGGATTGCATTGCAATGTTGACAACTCACATAAATTCTGCTTGCATAAACTTTCTGTAAGATTGGGTGCAGACTCATAACGCATCAATAATGAATTTGTATTGAGTGAGTCTTGACTAGGTTGTATCAATTTTAACCCCAGTAATGCGGTCAATAATCTTAATGGAATACAACTCCCTAATGAAATTTAGCACACTGGAAAGGAGTTAGTTGTAACTTGAGGCCTTGTTAATGTGTGATACTTACAAGAATAAAGTACCATTGGAGGTTCGCATTTGTTTCAGTCATCAGTTTTGTATTAGTGTGATAGGGTTTTTACTTGTGATCCAGTCATTCAACTACTGCAACACCACTAAGCTAAAAGAGTCATGATAGTGATACTACTACTTCTTTTAGTAATAACTTTTACATATCAGTGAATGAGGACATAGGTTTCATCTGCAACACATTTTATTACACTGAATTGCTTATACATTGTACTTGTAGTCATTGGTATAAATAAATTGTTGTCTATATTTACTATTTTTGCTACAAAGTCAATGTTTATTTATTCAACCTCGTACGCTACTTGTCTAAAAATTGAAACATCACAAGGCGTTGAGTTTTGGTGTAATTATAATTTTATTATTTGGTATTTCATCAAACAAGTTACTCTAAACTAATAACCTATTTCCACAATTTGAATGATAACATAATTCTTATCTAATTCTGTTTATGTAAATAACTCTATCGATGGTGGCACGACACTTGGCCTTTTTTAATTAATATGAAGTCCACTTAGAGCAACTAGAAATGGAGGAAAGTTAGGCATTTACCAATGCATAACATTGATTAAAATATTATAAAAACACATGCTAGAGAGAGAAAAGAGGACAGAGATAGGAAGAGAGAGGCATGTAGGTGGACCCCACCTATTTTTTGGTCGGATCGTATCACGTGATGGTGGACCACATGCTGATTGTTCCACTGAAAGTTTATATAGTACCATTAAGTCCTCAGTGTTACTATTTACCCATAAATTTAGTACAACTGAATGCATATATAATACCATTATGTGCATATATAGTATCATTGTATATTCAATGGTACCATTTGATCATCCAATGATATCAGAATATTTATTCGTTTGTACATATGCATAATTACATGAATACCCCTTGTTATGCATTTCTAAATGTCTAACATTCCTCCCTTTAAAATTCCTCGTCTACTTAAATCTTACGCAAGGTGGCGCGACACGACAACAGGTGAAAAAGCCATATTTGGCGAAAAGTACAAATTTGGATATGCCGATAATACGTCACCTGGATAAAAGTTTAGCAGTATATATCACTTAGAGTAGAGTACGTACTTGTAATGTAGTGTTAGGTAACACATATTACTTTCATAACATGTGTACTTATTAGCTAGTTCTTTGTGTAGATTCCATTTGACTTATAGACATAGAGCCACCTGACACCTTATTATCCATTTACATCTATATTGTGTGGTAAGTATTTGTAGATAATATGGACACAACTCCTTATGAAGGGTCATTTCTAAATTCGCTTAATTTAGATGCGTTATCCTCTTTATTTAATTTTTGTTTTCCTAAAATTGTTCATTTTGATTGGTCAACTAAACAACAATGCATACTCTCATTACGCAGGAAATGGTTCAATTTCATTGACATTTTGTCTGACTGAGTAATATTTATAAATAACTAAGTAATTCTTGAAAAGAAGACACTGTGTGGGAGTAGGGTTCGATTAGGAGGTACTAGGGTATCACCTAAACAACAATGTATATTGTCATTACACAGGAAATGGTTCAATTTCATTGTCATTTTGTCCGACTGAGTATTATTTATAAATAACTAAGTAATTCTTGAAAAGAATACACCGTGTGGGATTAGGGTTCGATTAGGAGGTACTAGGGTATCACCCACACAAAGATATAAAAAATGTGAGGGTGGTGTAACTAAGATTTTATAGTCCCATTAGAGTTTAAAAATATTTCATTGGGAAAGGGTATTAAAGCACTAACAATAAATATTAAAAGTATAACTGTACTACAGTAGGGTTGGATTCAATATTCCTAGGGTTTTACTAAGATCAAAAGGTTTTTGTATGACCTTGTGATTGTCGATGATACCATTCTTCTATTCATAATGTATTTCCATCTTTTGTATGCAACCTTCTGATGCCGATACTAAACAACTTACAAACCTAAAGGTGTAGCATTCGTATTATACTGATTCAAATTGCACAAAAGGTCACAACTAACTAAGTGATGTAGTGTTAAGTAACTTCAAGAATCTTCTTTAATGTGTTGATATAGGCCGCTATATAGAGTGGTCAATGACTGTGTTTATACTGATTCAAAATGCACAAAAGGTCACAACTAACTTAGTGTTGTAGGGTTAAGTAACTTGATGAATCGTATTTAATGTGTTGATATAGGCCGCTATATAGGGTGGTCAATAACTGTAAATTTTTTTCCAATTATTATTTTCCGAAAGCATCAACATTTTGTAGTTATGGTTGTAATAACATTTATTTTTGTGATCTTTCATTAATCCTCTTTTTTGGATAAACATTGCCTAAAATGATTGCAAATGATATTCCCTATTCTATTCTTCTTCCTTTTCTTCACTTAGTAATTTTATATTAAACCGCACCTCATTTTTAAACTACTGAGGTTTGTATTGTGTAACTGACCTAGTCATTGGTTGAACTCACATTATTAAAATAACTCGATCGCATATTTAATTTTTTCAGTATAATGAGGTCACTTATGTAACTGTGAGTAATTTTGATAGTTGTGGATTGATTTCTAATACAACTGTAACTGTATTGGGTATGAATGACTGTGTTAAAATGAGTTGGTTAGTTATATGTGTGTCTGTGTTAACACAACATAAAAGTTGCTTGAACTGAACAAAGAAATGGTGTAGTTGCGTAACTTACTAGTGATATTACATAGTATGATAATTTGGACATGGCCCAAATTGCATTTAGAAATTGGGTTTCCATGAAGGCGGGAATAATTCCATTATATTCCCGCTACATTATTGCTATAAATGAAGGTCCCTCTCCTTGAACGTTTAGAACTAGAAATCAACTTTGCCATGTCTTCAAACTCTTCAAGTTCTCATTTACCTAGTCGGTTTTTTTCAAAACCTAATACAAATGTGTTATGGGTTGCTGCCAAGAATTGCAATTGCAGAGGACAGTCAGTTACCGAATTTCGGATTTCGATGTCTGAATCCAATCCTCACCGGCCGTATTACAAGTGCCGCGCGCGCATGCAACTTCTGGTAGTGGGCGAATGAGGTAGATTTCATCCGCGGCCAAAACAACAATGGGATGGGTTTACTCTGCGAAAGGATTGAAAATTTGGAACGTCTCGCATTCAAGATTATGGTTGTTGTGTGGTTGTTTTCTTTGTTGATGAAATATTAGTGATCAAATTTGTTAGGTTATTATCCTGATATATTTGTTGCTAGTAAAGTTGTATTAGATTTAGCAGATTTGCAGTTAGTACATTTTCCTTGTGTTGTACTCGGATTGGGAATAAAAATTGACAATATAAACACTGTGTCCATTGAAAGTGCACAACACCATCAAGATTTTTCATGTTATACCTACACAAACAAGTCTTACATACATATATCAAAAGGAGGTGCATAAAGTCATAAACCCATCTTAACTAAAACATCTTAAACACAGTTCTTAAATACATCTTCATACTACGAATAACAAGATAATAGCCGAATAGTGAAATAGAAACCAAAAACAAAGGCATCCACCATCTTTAAGGCGTCAAATGGTCGTTCAAGTCATGGACTGTGGTGTCATCTTGTCCTACTCCACCGTAGTCACCACTTTTTGATGGAGAAGCTGGTTTTGGTGATGGTGTAAGATGATCATTCCAGTCATGGACTGATGGATTATCCGTCGGGTCACCTCCTGAGTAAGGCGAATAGGGCGATGGTGGGGTCAGAGCCCTTCCTCCCCTTGTCACTGACTAGGTTACCATAACAATTACATCTCCGTTTGATTAGTCATTAAAATAACACAAAAGATAAACAACAAAAATAAACCTTCATTTGGTACACCAAACCATACATATAATTACAATATTTACTTCTTCTAATTTATAGTGTGAATAACAAGGTTAATTTTAGGCTTAATTTAGGGACTGATTTTTAACATTAGCACTAATCTATAGCATTTAGAGGAAATGAAAATTTCTTTAATGATCTAGTAAAGTTTGAACCTTTTTGTCCAAGATAGAGTCATTACCTCAATCTCGACACCAAGTTGATGGCCAAAGTACGAATTCCCTCTCTTAGTAACCCATGGGAACAATTCCTTCTTATCCCAAATGAGCAGCACCTCACTATACCCGTTATGGCCTCCAAATCCTTCTACGTCGTACACACCCCGTAGCTGGAACTTCAAGTATTCCAGTGTTGACTGGTCAAAACGAGCTTCAGTCACCACGACTAAAACTAGGGCGTAATAGGAAAATAGCTCATAGAACGTGTCCACAAACGAAGGCCTATGAACATTCCTTGCATTCCAAACGATGACATTGGACCCAGAAGGTAAGTAACACCGGCTTGATTCAACATCAGTCTCAAAGCCTTGAAATGAAACACGAGAGTACTTCACCTTTTTTTTCTCTGTTATACAGCAATGCACATTCACATGAAGAGCTTTGAGTAAATTGTGCACCTCCATAACATGAATAGTTGCGGTTTTTGCACCAAGGAACACATGCCTTTCCTGTAAAGGGAAGGTGTAGATCGGGAGTTTTCCGGGGTCAACCAATGGCTCCAGATAAAAAATTGGCGCAATATCCTTGGGGATAAACTCATTCTCATCATTGCTTGAATTTTCACATAGCCATTTTGCAAAAGAACCAACACCCTTGTGGAGATAGCCTTCCAAATCTTAAAGATCTGGGTAGTATGCTGGCCGAATTTTCCTTTCCGCCACTTCCATCAAGCTTTTGGGTATGTAAGTAGTGGTCATCAACTCAAGAGAGTTGGACAGTTGGTCTCGGAGGAAGTTAGGAGGAATGCAAAGAACTTCCTCGAAATGAAAATGGTTTGCAAAATAGGGTGTGAAGTTAAAATCAAGTTCTGGGGTTGTTGTTGTTTTGAAAGGCTTGAAGTACATCAATGGAGTGGTAGGGTGCTCTAAAATGTACTTTCCCCATGCACCCATAACATAAGTCGCTTCATTTCCAGAAGTACTCATTTGGGCTAAGTTTTGGGTTCTTGAGAATGAAGATTAAAGGTCTTTCAAGTAGGTAAGTGAGGGAACTATGCGTTAGGAAGATGAAGAGAATTAAAAAGGAAGTAAAGAGAAGTAATATAGAATTTGATATTAAAAAAAAAAAATCCAGAAAGTCAGAAATTGTAAGAAATGGTAAGAGTGCTAGGAAAACTTTCATAAAAATGGGCAACTGACAACTGTTAAGCTGAACTGAGCAAGAAAAAAATTATGATAAGACTTTGCATCTGCTACAATAGTACAATAGGTTGTTGGGCTCTAGGCATTCCCTTCCAATTCAAGGGTAAAATTATGAGTAAGGAAATTGTGTGTCCTTTGTGAACTTATTCTTCAAAAAATCCCAAGACATATGTCTTAATATTTTTTACACTAATGAAAAATTTGTCACATTATTTAGTATTAATATACGTGTCTCCTGTTAGAGAATCAACACGTTTCAAATTTTACCGTTAAACAATTTATAAGTAATCAAAAGTTTGTCACATTATTTAATATGTCTCCTGTTAGAGAATTGACCCGATTAAAGGATTATCTTTAGGATTTTGAAAGTTACTCAAAAGGTTTGTCAGAGTATTTACTATTAATATACGTGTCTCCTGTTACAAAATCGACAAGATTAAAAAATAACCCCCCCCCCCCAACTATTGAAGGTTTGAGTAATATTTAAGTTTCATCAATTCCGACTACAAATATATTATGACCTTTCATTACGGACTGTGGCTACGCGTTTAAATGCGTAAAGGAAGCCTCCGTGTGTCTTAACATGCTAATAATAGTACATAATGTATATATTCAAGCCCTATTCGAAGTTATCTGTAGGAAGTTAGGGCCTACAATAATGAATGGAGAGTCAACATAATTGATTAGGAATACACTAAAGATCATCTTGGTGTTCATCCGGTGGGCAACTAGTTCGGACTAGTACCATCGGATGCAAACTTACGATTTGAAACATAAAAATACTGTTTTAAGTAATTACAAATATTCCCCTTCAGTTAAGTACCAACAAAGGAGGGATATTTTGCGCTCCCACCCTACATGGATACTAATTACAAATATGTTCAAATGACCAAAAGACACTAGGATAGGTGTGCACAAAAGGAATTGTTTCACAAAATGTTCAAAATGACCAAATTATCATCGGAGATTATCAAGTCATAACTTAGCAAAACAACAGTTAGTGGTCAGATAGCCAAGAAACCTCATACACATAAATCAACAAGTGTGCTGAGAGCCAGTCCTTCTGGTGCCGCGACGTTCCTTAGGCAGGATATCACTCTCCAAATTTGCCCTTACTTCATTAAATCGCTGTAGACATCTTCAAGAAACAAATTCTTCCTCACCTTTGCAATTGTGTCCTGTAAAATTGACAAAATAGCTCTAACAAATAAGTTCAAAGACACAACGTTACAACCCCAAGTTGGACCACAACACAAACAAATTTTCTAGGGTGCAATTTCTCTAGTTGCGCTCACCAGGTGCAATTCCGCCTCAAAACTTCTAGCACAATGTTTAATAGTTGCAAGCATCAGGGCACCATACGAAGACCTATTGTTCAATTAGAAGAGCATTTAGATATTATGAAAGGACCCCAATTAACAACCCAATCACTAAAAAAGAATGGCAGTCATAAAAAAACTCACGTATCGGACTGCTGCACCAGAAAAACACGCCTTAACCAACTTTCTACAGTCCCCTCCACCCACATAGGGTTGCTTATCTGAAGCAACACCTCCAACGCCTTCACCTACAAGATATTGCGCATAGATTACATATCAAAAGATAAACATCTGTAGGGAATATTTCAAGCGTTAACCCCTTTCTTAAACCCGACTATGATCATACACTAAAGTACGGTGGTGTCCAAAAGGGAAGAAGATAGAGCAAAAGAGTCGCCAACAAGTTTTAGGAACTTGTAAATCGTTCACAGGGTGAAGGTTACACCCCTTAACGATCCATGAGATCGTCAACTCCATAAGGTCTTGAACCAAATAAGGGTTCGGGGATGAAGATACAAATCCAACCTAAAAGAGATAGAACCTGCCCTAATAATAGGCCTCTACTTTATTCTGATCGTATTCATGTGCGCTTTCTAATTAACATGCAATCAATAGGTTTACCCTAAACTTGTTTATTTATGTTGGTTGAATATAATGCACAAATAAATCTATTATTGGCGATCACTTGAATTATAATCAAATTAACCCTAACAAGATTATTAATTATCTTATTAAGCGTGATTACAAGTATAGATTCCCTTTAAACATGCATAAAAGACGTGATCAAGAAATAACAATAAATATCATCAAGCAACATAATAATAAAATAATCATGATCATAAAATTATAACAATGAAATAATCATCATAATAACAATCATATTAACCATAATAATAATCATGTTAATAATAATAATAATAATTATAAAATTATAATCATAAATCATGTTAAAGCATAATAAAAATAGCAAGATCCTAGGCATGATACTAACAAGATTAATAACAAACCCTAGCATGTCACTAAGCAATAAAAATCAAATCTTTAGCCCTAACATGATACTAACAATCATAAATATTAGGAAGAACATAGGAAGCATCGTAACAATCATATTTAATATTAAATTACCCTAGACATGATACTAGGAATATCATAATAACAATACAAACATGATTTCTACATCATAACATCAATAAAAATCAATTAAAGTACTTACTTTGATGCCTCGTACCTCTTTCTAATAACAAAATACACACGTTAGTAACTTCAAGGAAAATAATAATCAAACAATTAAATTAAATAATTGAAAGATAGATTTGGGACCAAACCCTCAGAAATTAAACCTTTCACGTCTAGGGCGAAGGCAACTTTGAATATGGCTAGGTGTATCTAGATCTTGTGAATGCGGAATTTTGTATGTGAAAAGCAATTTTTGAAAAAGAAAGAGAAAGATGAATTGATTAAGGAAATCTTGATGAGAATTAGTGAATGAAAACTGATTGTAGGTGATTATTAATTAAAACTGATTGTTGATGAATGAAAACGGAGTTTTTACGTCGTTATTTATAGAGAAAATCAGCCAAAAAGATAAATTAACAGAACAGAGTCCTGGCGCAACTGAAACAGATCTGGCGCCAACCCTGGCTAACTGGCGCCATGCGCCAACACTAGCGCAAGGCGCCAATGGCTGGCGCCAGGCGCCAATGCCTGGAGTCAGGCGCCAGGCCTGTTTTTGACGCGTTTTCGAAAATCAGATAAATTTGCCGTACTGGAGGATAAAATCGTATCTTTTCCTCGAAAATGCTTTTTGATTTTAATTAAAATTCTGAAAAGTCAACAAAAGTCAATTTATCAATGCTAATTGAATTAGGAATGAAAAGAACCTTCTAGAAGAATCTAGAAGACTAAAACCATTCCTAATTGCATTAGGAATGATAAATCATATTAGGTCCTCCCCTGGATCATTGGGCCGCATATAAAGCTCAAACCGTGCCCAGTTTAGTAAATTGGTCATAACTTCCTCAATATTCATCGGAATTGGGCTTGTAATATATCGTTGGAAAGCTCTTTTCAAAACCCATCCAACTACACTACTATTGGACCCATATCATGGACCAACCAAACTGGATTGGCTATTTTCTTAAAATAATTTTTCAAAAACAGAGAGAAGAGAAAAGAAATTAAAACTTTCCGCAACACTAAACTTTTCACACTTTCGCTTCATTCGATTATGATTCGACGTGAAAGGTACTCATCACCGGGTTTGGTTTTGGGGAGACACAAATGGGTGTCTACAACATCACACATGTGAAAACAATATAGTGGACTTTCAACCATCCCGCTTACCAAAATCTCTACAATTGCCTCATGCGTACAGAACGGATTGTCATACATAGAGTCAATCATCCAAATCCTTTGGGATTTTAATTCCAAAGCAAGACAAAACCAATGCTCAGCATTCTTTTGTGGAACCAAAACAGGGACAAATACCTGAATCAACAATAAATAATTTAGCTTTTTTTTATGCATTAGTTCCCCCAAATTCAGTCCCACAAATAAGCCTAAATTAAACAAAAGAAAAACCAAAGATGGACACGTACACTGTGAATTTGATCTAGAGGGTGACTAAGGACACTCCTGCAATATTTCTTCCCAAGCACTTTGTACTCATCTTTCCCAAGCATCACAAAATGCTAGAAAACAACATCAAACTAATAAGGGAAAGGTCCGCACCATTTAATTTAACTACTCCCAACGCAAAGAACATTCACCGCATACGAAGGATCTAACATAATCCTTTTCATAGAATGCCGAGTAGACCAATTTTTCGTGTACAATACAGCCGCCATCCTCACGTATTGATCACCAACCCTAGCCCTTGGCGAGCACAGATAACAATCACGTTGTGTTGCATCAATCCCATCACACTCGATCAGTGACGGGCCTGCAAACAAACAAACATAAAACAATGAAGAAAATAAAGTTTAAACACATAAGAAAAATGACCAGAAAATATGCCATATTATGGTGCAAATAATCATCAACTGACTACACTTACGCATTTTCATTTTTCAAATCTCTCCACCCCTTTACAAAAGCCAGTAGCCTCTTCTCGAACAAACCCGGCTTAATACGCTTTGCCTTCACCCCCATGTGAGAATTAGCTGACATTTCTTGGCCAGTACCTCTGGAATGTTTGGAGTCCTCATTGTCATTATGTTCTTTCACCCTCGAGAAATGATTCATTGTGTTCCCCATTGTAAAAATATATTCATTTTTTGGAATCGCTTTGTTTTCGCTAGGACCAGTACTCCCTGTAGTCATATTCTGACAAAAATCATCGAGATTTCGGCCCAAACCCATCCCAGTCATCTTCGACACAAAACTACTAAAACATTTTTCAACAACACCCTCCACAAGGTTCTCCAGATTCGGGGTGAACTTAGCAATCATCTGCAACACAGTGGTTTAAATTCAAATAAGTATACAACTAGTAACGCATGTACTTAACACAAAACTACAAATAACATACATTCGTTTACGTTGTCCACCACATCTTTCAACATATCATTCATCTGCTCATTGTCGGTGAGTGGAGAAACATCATTTCCTACACAATCAGCATCCCTTGTTACAAGGGGATGCTCCTCACCATACGCTATATCATACGCCTTCAACCAAATACAACCAATAACTAAAATCAGAAATGTCAACACAAATAAAAAGGCATAAATAATAACTACTAGCTTCCCTTACCAACAACTTCCCATACTCGTCACGGGTAACCTTGTCTTCCATAAGAGCTGCCCTTATCTCGACAGAATTCCACACCGTCACCCTTGGGAACACTCCCCATTTCAAAGGTTTCCGGTGCAAGTGATCTAGATAGAATATCTAGGAGAACAAGTTTTATATCAATTAATACACATACACAAATTCATACATAAAAAATTTCTACACAAAAAGAAACAATGATAAAAACTCACCATCACAAACAAAAAACTACCTCCGCAACCAGATCTATACCCATCCCTCATAAACTTTGACTGAAAACGTCGGGCGGTGTCACAAAGCCAATCCATGGTGAAAGTACACCAGTCATACTCATTAGCATGACTAGCCACGGTAACACAAGGAATTAGGGAAGATGCCAAGTTAGAAAAATTGGTTGTGGTGCATAGTAGTTTGCCAAGCACCACAATCAAAAAGGCAACCATGAACTCCTCCTCATCAATCTCTGTCAGCAGCGACACGGGCTTCTGATCTGTCCCTAATGGACACAACACACTAGGAGCATCTTTCAAAGATATTGTCTCCTTCTTCGGTCCCGTCCCATAAGCATCGTACATATACTTCACCAGCATAATCTTCTCTTCGTCTTCACCAATATCCATTGGCACGGGTTTTGACCCCATAGGAGTCCCTAGCACACACCTCACCTGCTTAGCACCCTAAGGCAGAATTTCTCCTTCGCCAAATACCATAGTCGCATCTTCGCAAACATGGGCCATAAGCCAATAACAGAACTGCCTTGGAATATTCTTCATATCCAACTCCAGCAATGCACCAAACCCCATCCGCCTTACTAACTCTTTCCGCTTCGTATCAAAGGCAGAAACTGAGACAGAAAATGACTCAACCCGGTAAACAATATTCGGATACTGCCACAATTTGCACAACACATTTACATTAATAGCACAACAACAGAAGAACAACATTCCAATCAAAATTTTCTTGGACAAAACATTTACCTGTCCGACATTGTCATGATGGGTCTTCAAAACCTCCCCTTCACTCAACACCTTGTTCCCTTCAAGTGTACGAACCTATTTGATTTTTCAAGTACAAAACACACAAGGTTACACTCCACTAAACAAATAAGGAAAATTGCTCCTATGTAAAAACAACTTTTTAATAAAAGAATCACCTTACGCCGGTGTTGACTTCCTTCCCCATTCAATCTCCTCTTCCGTGACTTCTGTTTCATGGACTCCATCATCAAGTTCTCCACAAAACCAGAGCTTGAAGCTGACTCGCCTTCACCATCTGTATTATTACTCTTCATTCGCCGCCATCTTCATCATACTCATCCAATTCCTCATAATCCTTATCAATCTTTCTCTTAGGGCCTACCTTCTTCCCAAGGGCCTGGCTTTTAAGAAGGGCAGGAGCCTTCAACGAAACCCGTTCCTTCTTGCCCTGCCCCTTACCTTTACACTTAGAAGGACCACCCTTGTACAAACAACCGCAACCAAGTTAATACCCTTTCCTAATACTACATCACAAAAAATATACATACAAAATTAACAAATATAACTCACCAATCCCTTCTTCCAGCTCATCGAACGCACCAATGTCTTCCCCATCCACACTAACCAGCCCACCAACAACCCTGTTTTTAAAGATTATAATCATACAAATATTCTAATCACATAGACACAATCCCTATTCCCACTATTATAAAACAGCTCAATTGAATATTCACAAAAACACCAATCCCTAATAGAACCATTAATAAATGCTCAATTGAATAATCACTTAGGAAACCCTAATTCAGCAATCAAAATGCACATTTGAATATTGAAAAAACCATTCCACCCCAACAAAAACATAAATTATTATGACACAAACACCAAACCGCAATTAAACATTAAAAAAACTATATTCAATACACACAAAAACAACAATCACCAACTCCAACATTAAAAATTCATCCAATTACTAATTCAGACAACCCCTACATTCACAGTTAATTAAATATAACAACTTCATAAACAAAAAATTATCCCTAATTCCTCATGAAGACACTCTCTCCCTCTAATTTAAAATTAACAAGATTAATATATAATGCAAACACAAAACTATCCATCACTGTATATCGGATTATAGTTCAAGAACACATGCATCCATTAATTACGCCCTTTCACACATTAAAATCCACACTCATTCAAGTTTCAATTACTCGTCTTCATTCATCCCGACCCAACAAGCCACGTGAGTAACCAAACCCTAATCACAAGTTCACTAATACTACCGTATTTTTTAAACTATCGATGTCAAACAAAAACTCCAACTTCAGACCAACACAGCAATTTTGAAACAATATAGGGAAAACACAAGACTCAATTTAGAAATTCATGAAACCAAATTGACAGACAATTGCAAGTAACACCAACCTGGAAACGCAGGGATGAACCTCGCGATTTTGGCTACCCACCACTCGAGCCCAGACTTTAAGCCACGACACCTCAACGCCGACAACGATACGTGATTTAACGAACGAATTACCACCAGAATTCACCAGTCGAGATATAAAAACAAGGAAGGAAGGAAGAGGAGAGAGAGAAGAACACAATAAAGAACAAAAATTAAGAATGAAGGGTGGAGAGAGACAGATTCCCCATTAGAAAACAAATTGAATATGGCTCTTCTACCAAAGACAATATAATACTATTTCTAATTGAAGTACTAAAACGGGATGAAAGTAAGCAAAACGGAGGTGCTACTTAGGAATTTTCAAAATACATGTCAAAAGACAACCATACCCCTCGTTATGTATTATTAGGTAAATAACTAACCTCCCTTAGGAAGACCTCTATTTCAACCGGCCTCGTGAGTCGAAAGGTACAGGCATCTTGGATAATTTTTTTACAATTATTTTGTATTTTTTCTAACCGCATAACAATCATCTTGCTATAATATTATTTATTTAGTAAAAAGTGAATCGTGAAACACGCATTTACCGTAACATCAAAGGACAACGATATATACCTATCCACACCCACGTGAATATTAGAATCGGTCAGTTAAATTAATTATTGACAAATTAGCCCAATTCAAATGATTGAATTAATTTAATCACTAAATTATGAATTAATCTTCGCACCATGAATTTATGTCAGAAAATCATATAATAATATTGATTTATCTTGTATGAAATTATCTCAATTATTGTAACTTAACTAAGTATTTATAGACGTCCCCTTATCCTAGGAGAAAAACCATATTCCATAAAAAAAATCCCACAAAAAATGGGCAAGTATTATCGATTGTTGAAATTTATTTTTCTACAAACCATCTTTTTCGTATGTTGGCCTAGCAACACTTTGGGTCATCGTCACAAACATGTAAATGGTGATGGTGTGCAACCACTCACTCAAATTAACATTCTTGATACTAAATTTGCTGTGCATGACAAGGCGTTTGTTCATGTTTCTACCATTCGTCTGCCTTCTAAGGTAATTTATAAAACTGGTTTTAAACCCATGAAAATATGAATGGTTCAATGAAATGAGACTATTGTTAGCGTCTCTTTATATGATAATAAAGGGGTAACTTTTATTTAGAGATGAGGTGACATTTTCAGTCTCATTATATAAGGTGTTTAAGAGAACTCGCCTTATAATGTACATACATTAATTTACATCACCTTTTTTCAAACTTTAGGACCAATTAATAATCATAATCTTGATAAATTTTTATTTTTATTGTTTAATCATGTTATTATAAACCTTTGTATAGGGAGATGAGGACTCAAAGCTATTTGGTACAACTAAGTCAATTATTCAAGACATAGAGGTAAATAGAAATGAAAAGTTTGCTTAAAAACTTGTACTAAAGCATATGACTTGTACTAAAGCATATGATACTATATTGCAGTGGACTGTGGTGCTAATTTGAATATTTCTGCAGGATGATGACAATGTTCGCCCAGTAACTGTAACTCTTATGTCTGACAATCCGTCTTCTGATGATTGGGTCGGAGTTTTCTCCCCTGCTAAATTCAAGTATGGTTATATGTCTGCATTTATGTCTCAGTCTTACAAACTATATGCAACTCTATGTCCATTTTTTTTAATATACTGGTATATAAAACTGATTTTTGTTACGATATTGACTAACTCCCTATGTAGACGGGCTGTGTGCCACTGGAAGACGACTCCAGACGAGGAAAACACCAAAGTGCTGCACCTCAAGGCACTGATAATATACCTAAAATATATGCAAATAAGACTTATTTGTTAAGAGTTAAAATAGACGAACAAGGGGAAGTTTTAGGCACACTAGGATAAATATGTAAAGCGAAAGTGCATTTGTAAACCATTACAATACAGTGGTTGAATTTTTAGATATTTAGGAGACAAATTTTTCAATAAAACAAAAAGAAAGAAGTTATAATTTGTTGGGAAGTTATATGAGATGCTTTTTTAGCTAGACATTGAACCAACAACTGAGTATGGACACCTTGATGATTTGAAACTTGAAGAGATGTGGTCACAATTTGAGCTTTACTCGCGAAAAGCTACCTTAGTGCACTTCTTTTCAATTGCTAGCTCCATAGCCACTTTGGCCACTATGGTCTATCTGTTACTTTAGACGTCCAATCAATTAGGAATGTCTTACACAAGGCACAAATTAAATCACCTCTTCCTTCTTCTCCTAGATAGTAACAACAAACATTGCTCAGCCGAAAGTTCAGGCTATTGATGATCACCCAAGGGACTCAGCCAAGGTGCTGCATTGGGAATGTGGAAATGAGTGACAGTCACCTTTCAGAATTCATTTGAACATATATGTCTTGAAATGAATTTTTTAAATAGTAATAAAGAGATGATAATTGATAAATAATAATCACCAATGATAGTGAACCATTGTTATTTTCTTAACTAGCTAATCAGATTCTGAGTTTTGTGTCAATACTTTTTTAAGATTCAGTGGAGTTTGTGTTCTTCCTGTCAAAATTTAAGAAGGGTGGACATTTCTTACATTTTTCTTTAATTCTTTTATGTTCAGTGCATCTACAGACTGCAAAGAAGTTGGTAATGACAGAGTTGAGGACCCAACTATATGCACAGCTCCTATCAAGGTTAGCATAGCTTGAAAGGCTTTTAATTTAAGATATGGACTTCAAATTGTAGTAGAAACTTATATCATTTGAGTTTTGATGACAATTAGTACAAATATGCAAACTATTCGAATACAAATTATCTCAATAGTGGAAAAGCTGAGTTGAAGTTCGAGTTGATTAATCAACGAGCAGATTTTTCCTTTGCATTATTTTCTGGCGGCCTGTCTAATGTAAGTTAATCAATTAAAAAGCAGAAGAATTAACCCTTCATTTCTTGTTATCGAGTATACTATGGTACTAATACTTTATTTGTTTGGTGATATTAGCCAAAACTGGTGGCAGTTTCAGACCCTATCTCTGTTTTTCCGAACCCAAAAGCCCCCCTTTATCCTCGAATTGCTATGGGAGAAACTTGGGATGTGGTAAGTTTCTGGGTTATATATTAAAATTTGTGGTTTTTGGTAAATATGGTTCAACTTAAAAAGAAGGAAAACACTATTGTGCTGAAAAAAGTGCCAGACCTAAAGAGAAAAATCTAACAGTTAAACTTAAGACTCTTAGAGTTTTTGACAGAAAGATCTAGTGGTTTACTAACATGATTTATTGATGTTGCACTTTGTCATTTTACAGATGACAGTGACATGGACAAGTGGTTACAACATAGGTGAAGCGGTTCCATTTGTTGAGTGGGGGGCTTTGGATGGAGCTACCACTCAATCACCTGCAGGAACCTTTACATATACTCGCAACCAAATGTGTGGTATGCTTTGTCTTTCCATTTGATATCATTTTTTTTTATTGTATGGTAGTTTGTCTCACTCAAAAAGATTTCATATGGTTAATTGATCATGAACAACCTTGCTAATTCAGAAAGTGTGTCAGTGACTTTATGACTTATTGAGTTGTTTGGCTGTTGTGATTCTTGTGAAGCTCCACCTGCACGAACAGTTGGTTGGCGGGATCCTGGATTTATACACACTAGCTATTTGAAAGAGTTATGGCCAAACACGATGTAGGAATCCAAAACTATCTATCCACAGTTCACTTGTATTACAGTAATGTAACATAATCAAATGTAGGCTTATAATTGACTTGTCCATTGATTATTCTCCAGGTACTCTTATAGATTGGGTCATAAATTACCAGATGGTTCCTATGTTTGGAGCAAGAAATATAAATTTAAATCACCCCCAGTTCCTGGAGAAAGCTCTTTACAACGTGTTGTAATATTTGGTGACATGGGGAAGGTACAACACTTCTTGATACTGAAAGTTATTGATCTTACAAGTTGTTAGGAAAAAAAAAAGTTATTGATTTTACAGAAAATAAATATCAAGGTTTATTAGGTAATAATATGACATCCTAAAGCGTTGAAGCTCGTTTCTCATAAGATATTGAATCAGGGTATGTTTATCGGCTTATTGCATAAAAATGCATTCATTAACCATAACCTAAAGCAAACACTTAATCTTGAAAATTTTTACTAGTAGATTACTTAAAACAGCAGAATGACATTTTGTATTTTAATTGTAATTGAAGGGTGAACGAGATGGATCAAATGAGTATGCTGACTATCAACCAGGAGCGCTGAATACTACTGACCAACTCGTGAAAGATATCGACAACATTGATGCAGTTTTTCTAATTGGAGATTTGCCATACGCCAATGGATATATCTCACAATGGGACCAATTTACTGCACAAGTTGAGCCTATTGCCTCAGTTAAACCGTTCATGGTTGCAAGGTTTGTATTCCATATGTTTTTAAGCTGTCTATTTCATATTTATATTCAGTGATAGGCTGATCATATTCCATATCAATGATGATACTGTCCAGCGGTAATCATGAGCGTGATGCACCAGATTCAGGATCTTTTTATATATACAATGACTCTGGTGGTGAATGTGGTGTCCCTGCTGAAACAACATTCTACGTCCCTGCCAAGAACCGAGCTAAGTTTTGGTAGGAATACTTTTTGCTATGTCAACAATCTATGCTGTATTCCATTTCTTCTTATGTTAGATATATGTTCTATGCAAGTTATAAAAATAAGAGGTAGTTAACAAACTTCTTATGAACAGGTACTCAGCAGATTATGGAATGTTTCATTTCTGCATCGCTGACACTGAGCATGATTGGAGGGCAGGTAGTGAGCAATACAAGTTCCTTGAAGAATGCCTTGCATCAGCAAATAGACATAAGCAACCTTGGTTAATCTTTGCTGGTCATCGCCCTCTCGGTTACTCCTCGAATAAATGGTTTGGTATGGAAGGGTCATTTGATGAGCCAATGGGCAGAGATGACCTACAAAAACTGTGGCAAAAGTACAAAGTTGATCTTGCATTTTGGGGCCATGTTCATAATTATGAGAGGACTTGCCCTGTTTACCAGGTATCTTTTAATTTGAATATTTTTTACTCCGTAGTCTTTATGTCCCTATGAAATTGACTGCGTTTTTATAACAAGTCATCCAAAATAACTGGCTATATTATTACCTTTGTTGATAACCTTAACCAGTAACAGAGAAGGTTACAATTTAACCGCTATTGTGTATGTGTATTCAGAACCAATGTGTGAAAGAGGGGAGCTCTCACTTCTCAGGCGTGGTGAACGGTACCATTCATGTTGTTGCTGGTGGTGGCGGATCCCATCTAAATGAATTTAGCCCGATAAAAACTACGTGGAGTATCTATAGAGATCAGGATTTCGGGTTTGTTAAGCTCACAGCATATAACTATTCAAGTCTGAAGTTTGAGTATAAGAAAAGTAATGATGGTAAAGTTTACGATTCGTTCACAATCTCTAGAGATTACAAGGATGTCTTGGCCTGTGTTCACGATAGTTGTGAACCCTACACTTTAGCCGGATAAGATGAAAGATGAAGCAAACCCAATAAAGGCAGAAGATATATGCTTGTTCCTTATTTGTTACTCTTAGTATATTGGTTTTAAATGTTATTGTTTCTTAGGGAGATATTATGTGAGAGTGTAAAAAAAGTAGTAATTGTTGTAACACGAAATGTTTTCTAGTTTGGCAATCCATCAAGGTAACATTTTTTCTTGTGTTATGCTTTAATTGTGTTTTGTTGACTATAAAATTTGTTACAATATTATATTCATAATTCTAACTCCCTTTGTTTCTTAAAGATTGTCTCATTTGACTTTTTCACAGTATTGTGTAAAAATTATGAATATTAGCCATTAGCCCATTATATTATATCATAACAAGATCTCATATGATGACATGACTATATCTTATTTCTTGTTAAGAATTAGTGAGAATTTGTGATCAAAATTTTTAAATTTTGACTCAAAAATGCAATGAGACAATTATTTGTGACATAGAGGGAGTATCTTGTATAGCTGAGCATCTAAAAGGTTTTGACGCTTTAGATATATAACAGCTCAAAACTCAAATATACATACAAAAATATAATCCAACATACTAATATTTCTTCAGCAAAAAATTGGTTCAACAGTTATAACCAACAATCATAAAAAATAAGTTCACCAACAATTAGTTGAGAATGTAGCCTCAAATATCTCCATGGATGTTACCTATTTAGATGGTATCAGAATTCCAAAGTCTGACAAAAATATTGCTCATGCATTCGCCAAATCAATATTGATGATGATTCTTGACATGTTTCATTACATGTTCATGTAAAAATAAATAAGGCAATAGGGTTCTCTCAACTCTTGAGAGAAGAATCCCCTAACCTTTGTCGTTGTAACTTAAACAAATGGTTCCATTCAACCCAACAATATAATACTATCATCTAATGTCCCTTCATGGACATCCTATATAACATTACAGTATTGAAGAATCCTGTTTTTAACAAAAGAACAAGATTAGTAACACCGCGATTACATAAAAAGACTATAACCAGTACTTACTGTACAATAAACAAGAAATGACATTCAGAAAAGAAAAAAAAAAAAAAAAAAAAAAAAAAAAAAAAAAAAAAAAAAAAAAAAAAAAACTCTGCTCATTTCTTGCTCTTCTTTTCTCTAGAACCATTCCGAAAGAAAGAACCAAAACCCAAAAGATCTGATGTACCTTTAGTAATATACGGCGGTGGAACGTTCAAAGAAGCACAATTTCTAACACCATTACCATGTGATCCACTACCTCCTGAACCACTGTTCTTCAATGGAGGCTTCTGACAGGAGGTCGAAGAAAATTTCAGATTCTGATTGTTATTGTTATTCATGGTCTTACCATTATTGGAGCCCGGGTTTTTTTGAGTTTGTTTAACAATATCATGAGACGATGATCCGGTTGATTTGCTTCTCAAAAGAAGAGGCAGTGACCAAACAGAGGAACTCCTCTTATTACTGAAATTCTCACAGTTTAAACTGCTGCTTCTGTTGAACCTCCAAAAAGACTTTGATTGAGTCTTTTCTTGGCGTACCAAAGTTGCAGTTGTCGTCGAGGTTATCTCCTCGTCTTTGTTGATAGAGTTGAGTTTTTCTTTCATCTGAATAGGGATGATCACACCATTAAAAAACAGTTCATCAGCAGGAGAATTATCAGTCTCAGAAAAAGCTGCTGTAACACAGAAGTCGAAATCTTCAGAGTTTTGGTTTGCTGATAAGAGTGACATATCTAGTCTAGCAACATCAATTTCTTGTTGGGTTTGGGTTAAATTTGTTTCCGATAAGTCGTGAGAAAACGATATCCGGGGGCTCGAGCAAGCGCTGCTCGAATCCCCGCCTGTTATCATGTTCACTGCCATCATTGTTTTGTTTGTGTAAGCTTTTTTTTTTTTTTTTGAAAGAGGTCAAATTAAATGGCTTAAAAAGGGGGGTGAAATTGTAAAGATTGTTTTAACATGAAGTCAAAAGAAATAAGTGTGTTAATTGTTAAAGTTGGTTTTTTTGAAATTGTGGAAAAGATTGAAGAACAAGTGATGAATAATAATAATAATTCTTTTATGGTAAAGTATACAAGAAAGAAAAATGAGGAAGGTTCAACTGCTCCATCAAACTTTAAAACATTTTTGGTAAACTTAATTGGTTGAGGAGAGAGAAAATAAATAAAAGTAGTGGGGTGGAAGAAGAGGATTGGAATAATGGTGAATCATTATATGAGAATTGAGAATACTTCAAAAGGGTTTCTCTTCTTAGAGAGGCAAAGGTTGAAAGAAAACTAACCTCCCAACTAACTTTTAGGTCATTTTCCAGGTGATAAATCTATTTCTAATTATTTTTTAAAATTTTAATTTGAAGGTATCAACATTTCCTAAGAAAAACACGATTAAACTTTAGCACAATTCATACTTGTATTCGATTTTTTATTTATTCATTTTTTTTTTTGTGATTTTTAAGTAATAAAATAAAATTTCCTTTATTTAATTAGTCGACACATTCTTTTATTGTGTTGGTCAATAATTCAACACAATATACCAAGTATAAATTACATTCAAAAAAATATTGCTAATTATCATTAAATAAAATAATAATGAAATGGATATTATGAAAATACTCATTGGAAGGCCGAAAATTACCAATCTCTCACATGGTCTTTTTTATTCAAATACGTAATTTACGGGGTTGTTAAACATAACAACTAATTAAAATGGGAAAGTAACATAGATTTTATTTTTTATATTCGTCTCAATATAATTTCAAAATCAAAACTTTTATACTTTTATATTGTACTTTTATACATTTTTGCTTATCCGTCATATCATTAATTATTCATATTAATATTTTGAATTTATATATTGACAATGTGATTAATGATATACGTGAACAAAAAGAGAACAGATGAAGTACTTCCGTATTACTCTTTATAGCCCCATCAATTAATGAGAAATTTTATGAACCCCTAGAAAAAACATAAAGAAAACAGATGAAAAAATGACTTTTGAATAACTTGTCAGCAACTCAGCATATTCAACATATTTATTTAATAGCAAAAACAAAAATTTGACTTTTAGGCCTTTTATGTATTAATTATTTGATGCATTAATTTACAACTCGTATAGTTTACAAATTATATCTAAAATTATTATATACAATAATTTTGTACCTAATTCCTGTGAAACATGCTGAATATCTGCCATCTATTGATCAAATTGATGTGTTTAAGGTAGAGCATGTCTATTATATTTCGTGTGCACTTTAGAGTTAGAGTTAGGTGTACTCAATGCAATTTGTTGCTTATTTAAAGTTACCCATTTTTTCATTAAGATGATTCCAAATGAGAATGAATTAAATAGATACACCTTATGTTTTTGACAACATCTTCACATTCACCTAAGAAAACGTATTTAAGGAAAAGCTATTTTTATTTAGTTGTTTCATGATTTAACCAAATCTTTTCTTTGTGTATGTCATCTATTATCTGAAATTTTCTATATACATCAAGATGCAAAGTGAATCAAAGAGTTATTTCTTCTCATTCAATATTCTTTACTTATGTTAAAATCTTTAAATAAGAAAAAAAAAATATCAAATGAGCAAAAAAGACCACCATTTGGTGCACGTATGTCTATGTACATCGAGTGTATATAAAAGTATTTGTCCGCTATCAAACAAACTTACTATTTCGTATTATTATTTAGATAAGATTCAGTTCTTATTGAAAGGGTAGTAAATAAATCACACTTGAACATGTCAATCCCGGCTCGGAAAATGACCGGGTTTGGGCATAAATTTTGGGACCCAGCCTGACCCAATTTATAAATAATTAAATCAGTTTGGACAACTCAAAAAACTAAATTTTTATTAAAATTTTGGCTCGAAAAGCCTAATTTTTTGGCCTGAACGAATGGATTTGGGCACGCCTTTTTTGACCCAAAATGAGCCAAAAACTAATGAACTGCTAAACAAAGCTTCCATTTTACAAGGCACCGCTCCCTTTTTTATAAATTGGGTCTAGTACTTAGTTGGGTTTGGTCTTAGCTCTTGTAAAAAAAAATAAAAAAATAAAACATAAATAAATAAATAAATAAACAACGCTTCCATTTTACAAGGCATCGCTCCCTTTTTTTTACATAGAAGGACGATATTGCCCTTTGTGTAAGTTGTAGTATATCATTTCGATCCCTCCACTTACTAACACGTGGTAAAAAAATTCCCGACCCCACCACATTCGACACCACCACCAAAAATCTGAGTTTTTTTTAAAAAAAAGTTATGTATTAAGCATTAGCGACGCGTTTAGGACGATTGACGACGACAATGTTCGGACACCGGAGGCTTCATCGGAGGATTCTGTAAATCGTCGTACTTTTTTTTTAATTTTTGAAATAAAACATCTACCTAAAAAATAAGAATCCACTTAAAATTTCTGGATCCCGACGCCAATTTGACAGGTAAATAAACACGTCGTCAAATGCCTATCCCTAGATCAAATAAATTTGTAACACTCAACTAACTTTATACGAGTATATATATGGCAAGAAGAGGGGTCGAACCACAGGGAGAAGCTAAACACCACAATCACTATTAATCAATTAAGCTATCTCGGAAAGGTGAACGAAATTATCTAAGAGATTAAAGCTAGGAATGAAATGAACTAGAGACGATATAATGAAAATACTAAAGGAAATGGATAGATGTAGGCTTCACTTGAACACACAATAACATCGAAAAAAATTAATCATAAACAAAACGTGCTTAAATATTGATATAAGGGATCCAATCTAGCCACCTGTCGAGGTCAATTGGCTTCTCCTAACATAGCCTCTATGTTGTCACATTAGAACCATATATTGGGAGGTGCAATCAAGTAACAATCGATACAAATGAACTTAGCTAAGTCAATTGTCGCATCATTTAGCATTAATTCACCCTCAATCAACTAACAACATGCACTTTGTAAGAAGATCGAAGAACATCAATCTAGTAAAAACTTTAATCACAATCAACTTGAATTCCAAACCAAAAGCATGAACAAATTCCAACTACATCATCCCCACACCCTTAGTTAAGGAACTACTCACTATCCATAGCAATTAACAAGTTAATCATGAAATCAACAAGCAAAGGCATGATTAATGAGTAATTAACAAGGCAAAAGCAATCTAAAACAAAATTAAATAGCAAAATAAAGAGAAAAGAGTATGCTCTTTCATTGAATTTGAAGTTCTACAAAGAGGTTGATTAAGCTTCTTCTTCAAAATTCAAGCTCAACAATGGAGGAATCCACAATTTCTCTCTCTAAAATGCCAAAACTAAGGATGTTTCTCTCTCTATATTAAGCTAAAAATCAGAAAATTAAGCTAAGATAATCTAATTACATCAAAAGGAGAGTATGGACTATATATATGGGTGCTTAGAAAAGAAGAAGTCGAAGACCTTGCGCCTTCTCAAGCTCTCCGCACGCCCGCAGCAAGGCGAATTAAAAACTGGAACCCAGCGATGCGCGTCCACGCACGCATTCTGCGCGCCCTCTCCAATTTCCGTGCGCCCGCAACTTCATGGATACGGAGAAGTGAAACCCAGATAGACGCACCAACACAAAATACAGCGCCCGCGCAGAAATAGTGCGCGCCCTCTCCAAGGTCGTGCAGCAGGCGCGCAAAATAATCTGACTTTGTTCTGGTCCTCTTCCTCTTTGTGCGCGAGTTCTCACATGCAACACTGGTGCGCGCCTTCTCAGATGTCGCGTAGTGGTCGCGCAAAACAGTCTGCCTTGAATCCCTAAGAGCTTCTATCTGTGCGCCTTCTCACAATAGTGCGCGCCCGCGCATTACTCATGTGCGCTCTCTCACAGAGGTCGCGCGCCGCATCCTTTAGCTAAGACCTTCTTCTTTTCAAGACCACGGTTCATACAAAACACAAACAAGGAACCAAGGTAGAAAATAGACAAAGGAGGTAAAAACTAGGAAAGAAGAAGAACTAAAGATAAGAAAGAGGGTACAATAAAGATACAAGTGCGGGAAAAGCCATTAATATGAGCCCTTAATCGTGGCATAAATGCCACTCATTAGTAGATTCGGAAATTTAAGGTGGATCTCCAAATCCGCCCAGAATTTCTAGATCTTTCTAGGTGGATCCAAAGATTTTAAGTGGATCCATCTAGGTGGATCCTAATTTTTCAAGCGGATCTAATTTTTTATTTTTTGTTTTTCTTTGAATTGATTAATTAATCAAATTTATTTTTGTAATCTTTATATTATTAGTATTATTATTATTTTTATTATGATTATTATTAATTTTGTGATTAATTGAGTAATTAGTATTAGTATTAGTATTATTATTGTTGTTGTGATCAATGTTGTAATTGTTTGTTGATATTAGTTATAGTCGGTTATTATTTATTTTTTTTATTTCACTTAATTTTTTATTTTTTTAATTTTAGAGAGATGAAATGAGAATGAAGTTATGAGAGAGTTGTGATTTCAGAAATGAGAAATGAGTGTTGTGAGTGTCGTGAGTATTTATTTACGAGGGGTAAATACGGAAGTTCATATTAAAATGCGAGCGGTGCCTTGTACTCCGTAAAATGGGAGCGTTGTTTAACAACCCCCAAAATTATGGGTAAAGACCAGTCCATCCGTAATCAGTTAATCACCTACAGGTTTTACCTGATTCATACAATATTTTTTTGGTTTAGTAAAATCTAGTTATATATAATATTAACCTTTAGAATTTTAGCGTTAATTACAAACTATTACTTATACCTAAGGAAAACAAATGCATAATTAGATATATTAGTGCTCTTATACTGTTATACCTTAAGGTCCCGTTTGATTTAATGTAAATATTTCAATGAAAAATTACAAATTAGTTTTTATTTGTTTGATTTTTCACAAGAGAGATTATAGACAAATTATAGAAGTGAAATTGTGAGAATATATGAGAGGAAAGTAAAAAAGAAGATATGTAGGATGGTGAAAAGTGTGGCTAAAAGCCTAAAACATTTTCCAAACGAGGCATATCAGACTTGAAACAACATTGATAAATGCTGAACAAAAAACGTGTACTCTATAGTTTCTTCTCAATTCAAAGATTCATTTACCTATGCTTCTTAGAAGTTTCAGGCTATAGTGAACTTTATCTACGTTGGATCCATGAAACACCATCAACAATTAATATTCTGATGCACTTTATTTATCCGATTAAACACATCTCTATTATATAAGCAAGGGATGAGCTAGTGATGCCCATCTATATAATACCTAAAATTTCTGCTTACTCTTTTAATACGGTTGGTGTATATAAACTTAAAAAACGTGTTTACAACTATGCACAATCAATTCAAGAACAACAAAATGTAACAGAGGGATTGTACAATGATTTATTCTTAACATGATCAAATCTTTCAAAATGCTATAGCTAGTAGATAAGAAAACCGAAATGAATCTATTACTTTCTCAATTTACAATATGTACTGTTAATGTGTTATATGACAATTACAAAGCCAAAGAAAAACGCAATGCCTTCAGGCAAACCAGAAATGGGGGAGGGGGAAAATTCATGGAGTTAATCAATAATCATCTAAGATCTATAACATCAAACTTCAACTTGGGATTTATATATACATCTGTACATTGTTTGTATAAAGGCCCACCATCAGCAGGCTGCTCATGTGAATGAAATCCACGCCGATCACAATGTCTAATAACCGACATACCGCCAGGGGTTGTCAATCGGAAAATGCCATGGGTTCTGCATGGGAAAGAAATAAATGTTACAAAGATAGCTACAAACACAGAATCACAGCAATAATCCCAATAGAAAGTGGTTCAGTAACAAGTAACGTACTTGGTTCTATCTCTTGGTGCCATAACAATCGCAACAGCTTCAGGCAACATGACCTGAGAAGACATTAAGATTTCTGTCATATCTACAATATATTTGCCAGATCAAAAATCATATCCAAGCATAATTTGTCACATTTTCGCATTGTCAATTTACTGCCAACATAGCATATTTAAATGTGTTAAACAGAAAACTTCGAAAAACAGGCATGGCCTAAGTGCTAACACTAAATCCTTAACCCCGCCTGCTCCCTATACAATACATGTCAACACCTCTATGTTATTCTTTGTTTAACTCACGAAGGTAGCCTGAGTGCCTGACCCCCCCCCCCCCCCACCCCACCCCTCTTTCCATAAAAAGAAAATTAGTTTGGCTTCACAATGAACTATAAAGTCATGGACACCAATCTCTTTCATTATTACTTAATAAATGAATAGCTTTCCAAAAATATATCTGTTATGTTTTCTTCACTTCCAATTTAATTATTTATTTATGGAAATTTTGTTACAAAAAAACCTTTTAAATGCACCAATTTGCGGAAAAAAAAAAAAAAAAAAAAAAAAAAAAACCTTCTAAAACCTTTATCGTAAAAGAAAACCCAAAGTTAAAATTCTTTTGTTTAAAACAACCTAGTACCATTAATTCATTTAATTAACCTCTAATTTCTGTATAACTCTTACTTAACTATTTAATAATTAAAATAGTTTATAAAGTAAAAAAAAAATTAGAAATCCACCACCCACCACCAGTCAGCCACCCTCTCCCTTTCCCACACCCCCCAGCAACCCACCTCCACCGCCGACCCTCCTCCCTTACCCCCGTTGCAACCCTCCCCCTCCCTAAACCCTGGCAGCAGCCCCCAATCACCATAACCATCACCGCATAACCCAATTCCATGTCTTCTCCGCCACAATCGCCACCGCAAAAGATGTAGACAGCCGCCGGGGTGTTCTTATGCACTTATCTTCTCTCTCCTCAAGGTCTGTTCTTATCCTTGACTACTCTAAAAATTTTGAGGCTCTTGATTACATTAATGGTGGTTTTCGTGGCTGAGGTGGTGCGTAAATGAAGGATTGGGGTTTTTGGAAGAAAGGGTTGGGAAAGGAGAGAATGAAGGATTTGTGGAAGTAGCTGCCATTATTGAAGGCATTGAAAGTTGAGGAGAGAGAAAAAGAGAGAGATTGAAAAAGAATAAGAAGAACAAGGAGGCTGCTGCCAGGGTTTAGGAAGAGGACAGCCGGCGGTAGAGGTGGGTCGCCGGGGGTGGGGGCTGCTATGGGGAAGGGGATGGCTGACTAGTGGTGGGGTGGTGGTTTTCTATAATTTTTTATTTTATAAATTAATTTAAATATTAAATAGTTAAGTAAGAGTTATAGAGTAATTAGAAAAAATTAGAGGTTCATTAAGTGAATTAGTGGTACTAGGTTGTTTTAAACAAGAAAATTTTAACTTCAGGTTTTCTTTTACGATAAAGCTTTTAAAAGGTTTTTTTTTAACAGATTTTCCTTTATATATTATTTTTTATGAGTTTTTAATAGCTAAAGCTATCTGTATAAGCCCTAGAGGACAGATCCTGTACCACAATGAAATTGAACTAAACTATTGTCAGTTAGAAGAGCAGATACTGTAACACAATACAATTAAAGATTTCCTGCGAGTGGACTTGACCATTCAAGCAATATAAATATTAACTACATATTCTCAGATATGTTTCTGTTTTCATTAAAGTTGAGAAAGCATAGCTATTTCAACTGCAATATGTTAATTGATAAAAATAAACTCGGGAAGCTATGAAGTTTGCAAAATTTCTCCAATATAAAACGTCCAGTGAACTTCCAACAGAATAGAATGAAGAAATTTAACTGGGATTCTCATATTCTTAAAAGGGGCTTCTTGAGGCCAAATGCCTCGTTGGAAGAGCACAGGACCATAAATCTGCTCAGGGCAAGCAAATAAATGTAACCTAAAGAAAATGGTCTTCAACTTTAAAGGTTAAATACAGAGAATTAAAACAAAGGTGTTTACGTTTCTATGTATTCTTACATCTTCTCAGCTAACCATCACATTTCTCATCAATATTTATATCTCTCTCTCAGAGTCGCAGGCCATTTCTTGAAGAATGACAAAAGTTAGAAATATTTATCCTAGCTTTCAGTGGACCTTGTAACTCATACTTCGTACAAAGTTTTCCAGAGCCCAACTATCACTATACTTCATGCAGATAACTTCAATATCATTTGTGAAATGTCCCCAATCAACTTGGAAAATATAGATGATTAAGAGACACAAGAAAACATAACTCAACCTAGGATACAGCCAATATGATAAGATCTTTAAAACATCTTTGACAATTCAGGCTCGTTCAAGAATTATAACTCCAACCCCCAAGGAAAAAAAAAAATAGAGAGAGAAATATACGTAGTAATAAGGTTTAGGAATCACTTACTTGATATGAGTAATGGGTATGAATGTCAACTGATGACATGAAACATGACTGTGTGGGATGAGTCTGGCAATAGCAACATGCAATGGACATTAGTTTCTCATGAAAGAACTCCATTACTTGGAAAATATTGCATAAAATGTACGTAGTATATAAGATGAAAAATTCAACAGTCTCCAGATCAAAGGCAACTATTTTCATAGTCTAGTATTAGCCACTTAAGAGAAATTAACCTATTTAGTTGCCGTGACACAATTTTACAGCTAGAGCATAGGATTACAAAACAAAACCCCATTATCTAGAAAAAAGTGATGCTGATTGCTAATTAATTGATTATATTTGTGATGACAACAATAATGATTAAAAAATGTGGATAAATATGCAGCACTGGACAAAGTCTAATATAAAAATCATATACAACTGGTGCTAAAAATCACAATGTATATACCACTGTAAAATGAAGAAAGTGAAGAAATGGAAAGAGGTCCTTCCATACTTGCATGCAAAACTTTTAACAGATGATCAATAGAAGAAATATGACTTAGTCATCATTCATATTTCCAGAATTAGAGTACGCCATATCATGTGTACAGACTAACCATTTCTGAGAATTCTCGCAGAGGATTATGAAAAACGTCAGCAAAGAATTTTCATATCAAAATTCTATGTATCATGGACAAAAAAGGAATTGTAGATTGATACTTTAAGGGGAAAAACAGAGAGGAAGATGGAGCATAATTGAGGAACACACATGGTAGCAAAAAACAACCAATTATTCAACAGATTTCACGAATTAAAAATAATAGCAAATTTAAGAATAATAATAAGATCATTGTACATGAATCCATCCCAATGGGAAAAGCGATTGTTTATCTTGCACTTCAAATATCTCCTCCTCATTTGTTGCCTGACACTAGTCATACAATCAAGAAAGGCTTGATTAAAATATAGAAAGATCAAAACTTTATATTTCATAAGAAATAGGGATGCACATATATACGAAGTGTATAATTTAAATCAACTTACAGTGTCGGATGTTGATTCCTGCTTCGGAATAATCAAAGCTGTAATATAGAACTTTCTGTTCTTCTACAGAGGGAAAAAAGCCATAATGTTAAGATTTCACCAACCATCATATTGTAGAATTAAAAAAAAAAACAAATAGTTGGAAGAGCTTACAAGCGAACCGGCAAGAATACCACATGTCTCCAGATTTTTTGCGGTGTTCGATTTAGCTAATCTCAAGAAAGTATCCATCATACTTGTCGACTGTCAGCAGCACAATAGACCATTCAGAAAAGTAGATACATAAATAAATAAACGAATAAATAAATAAATATATACACTCTACTGATTTTAGTTAAAATCGGGGAGAAAAAAGTGTAAATTTAATAAAATTAACGCGTAATTTTATTTTTTTAAAATCTTTTTTAGTACTCCCTCCGTCCTTTAATACAAAGCCTCTTTTGGTTTTTGCACGGGAATTAAGAAAGTTGTAAATTCTTTAAAAGAAATGATTAAAAGTACATATGTGCATGTGGGGTTAGAGAGATATAGAGAGAAAGAAAAAGTAGTTGGGAATAATTGAAGAGATAAGGGAATTGATGTTAAAAGTACAAAAAAGTAATGGAATAAAGATGACAACTCATAAAAAAAAAGGGTAATAATGTCAATAAATACAACATTTAAATAGAAATAGGCATTGCATATTGGTTTACTGAAAAAGGAAATGAGGCTTTGTATCAAGGGACGGAGGGAGTACTATGGACTATGGAGAGTCATCTTCATATTCTAAACAATTTTATACATGGTATAGAATTTTTAATTATACTACCACTATTTGAGAAGGATAAAATGGCCCTTAATGCAAAGTTTTGATAGGCAAAAATAAAAATTATATCTATATAACCTTCGTTCCCAAAAGTTCAGCTAACTAATGGATTCTTGTTTCTATGAAAACTTGGAAAAAGTGAGTGGGTGGAATCAATGGACGATTAAGTTAAAGAAGAGTGAGTGAGACATGTTATTAGTGTGAGATATGAGGAATAAATTTTTTATAAAAATATAAAGGGTCAAACTCAGTACTTCCTCCATTCGTTTATAGTTAACATGCTTCATTTTGGCGTGAAGTTTAAGGAAGGAAGAAAGAGAGATGCAATATACCCTCTCGCTCACAATACCACATCCCATACATCCTTCATACGAATCTATACTTTATAAATTAAAAAAGTGTTCCTAAAAACGTTTATGTGCCATGTAAAATCTCTACTATCATTGTGCCACATCATCATTTAACTAGCATTGCGCCACGTCACCATTATCTAGCATTACAACAATTATACAATATCATTTGAGAAAGAAAAAAAAAATGGTATCCCACAAGCTTCGAACACTAAGCCTCATGGATATAACTCACACTTCTTACCATCCTAGCCAATAGTAATTTATACTCTCTTAAAAAGGAATATCAGTTGGTGGCAAAGATCTAATCTAACAGCTCTAGTTTGCTTCTAATCTCTCACCCTAACCCCAACAAAAACTAAGCAAAAGCAACAGATAGATATTTACTCTGAGATGGCATAAGGCAGAAACAATTCAAATAAACCACTGGATGAAATATAATAAAACTAAACCAACATGTCGAATTAACAAAGAGGCAGCTAACATTCTTACTATGTGCAGCTCCATCGGAGATTCTGACTGAAGCAAACTATCTTGCAAAGAACTGTCCATTGTGTCAAGCTTTTCAGTCTTTAGAGGTGGCTCAGAAGGGATTAAGTCTTGCACCTCTGCAAGCACAGGCGGAGGGCTAGGTTGCTTCACAATAACAGTTTCAGGAACATCGGGTTCTTCAAATGAAATCATTGGCTTTTCGTCATCTTGTGGCTTCTGACTACTATCACTACTAGGTTCAATTGTAGGCTGCAAAATTGGTTTTTCACAATCCACAGTGCTTTCATCTTTATTAGCTGCAACTCCATCTTCCATAGCCATGACCTGTTGGAGCCTGCTTGTCAACACAAACCACAGAACAAGAAAAATAACAAACAAAATAAACCCCAAGCTGAAAGGACAGAACAGTAAAAAATCACTGCAGTTTCTTTTATGCAATACAAGCACCATTTAAATAAGATATTTCAGAGTTAACTACCAACCCATAAAGCAATTAAAAAACTGGGTACGATGACATCTCCAACATATAATGCCATGACACCATCTCTAGGGGTATTGAATTATCATTGTTATATAGAAAACGATACTGATAGGTTTGGTTCCACACATCTACAAGACGATTGTCATTAATGTATCTCTATGATGCACAGAAATGAAAGAATACTAAAATGCATCTCCATACTGCACAACACATAATAAAATTAAACATGAGAATTCCTTCACCCACACCCACTAGCAAACGTATCAACTAGATTACTGCAGTAAATATTGATATACGTCTCTACATCCAGGGATACATATATACACTGATATTTTTTTCTTCTGACAGAAACAATTGGTAAAGAATATATCAACTCATAGTAGTTAAAATAGATTACATGGACAGACCGACAGAACATAACCATCAGACCTACCTTGGAATCTCAACAGGAGTTGTATCAATATTACTGGGATATCGAACCTACATCCATCAGAGAAAAATCAGCAAACATTTTGGCAATTAAAAAATCAATCAGATTCTATGGCCATGTACCCCTTTATCAGAAACGGGTGGTTGCCACTGCCTGCAGAGCCCATTTGGTCCCAAAATTGAGTGCCTCAAAAGTGTCTCCTCCTTTGGACGGGGAAAGGAAACAGATCTGTATATGCATCAACACAACACAACCCAACAGTAAAATTTAGGAAATATATGGCTAAAGAAAGCAAGAAAAAAAAGATAATTGGCAGGTAAAGATCTTTCTAAGTTTCACTTGTTACAACCTTTCCTAACATCAACTTGTAACTGCAGTTTTATAACAAGATCAAAATCTTAGTTGTTTATCATTTAGCTCAATAAGATAAATCTGATGCAACCTAACCAACAACTGCGTGAACCTACTATAGAATACTATAGTCAATGTCAGGATCAAAACTAACAAGCAAAAGGATTGTGATCAAAATAAACAATTATCATCCTCAGTTATTCCTCACCAACAATTAGCCTAGTTTAAAATGAGCTGGTGCAACCTGGAAAGCACAAAGATGTGCTTAAGGATTGGAAAAGAAGGATGAACAAAGGTGAAGGCAGTATGGTGCTGCAAGTTTGGAACAAAAATTAGCAAACTTTCGAGGGTAAAACTTTTCCAGCTCGAAAATTTAGACGAGACTGATGTATAGTTGGAACTTCGAACCATAATTTTGCGGTACTTGGTGCTCATGGCCCTCCAACTGTACACAAGATACACTCCCAGACTCCCTTGGTACTACTTTAATGCATGATACTATACTCAAAAGAATTTTGAGAAAAGTCAATGCCAGGGTAGAAAAGACTATTTATATGAAAAGTGATTATTTCAGTGTTAATAGACTAAGTCAAACCTGTGTTTCCAGATAGACTAAGGTTCATGATGATTTGAATATAGAAAGATGTGATATGCATTAAAATGAAGAAAAACATGAGAAAAACCTATGTGTTGGCAAGAAGATTATGAGACCATAAATCAAGTTAAAATGTTCATTGCCTGACCAAACAATCCGAAACAGATGAACAGATGTGGTACAATTCTATTAAAAATAAATAAATAAATATAAATAATATGAATAAAGTAAATTCAGCAGCAGCAAACCAAACTATAACAGTCAAGATCCAGAACCAACACAGTACCTCAGATTGTCACGTTACTTACGTCAGATACAGAACAACAAAACCATATTGGAACTATTATGTTAAATTCTAGACACCAACAGGGTTGTGACATCTGTCCCAGGGTAATTATAATTATAAGGAGAAAAAGGCTTTTGTATCTAAAAATTAACAAGCTGCAGATATAAAACCTCATCAAAAAGAACAATTTGCTCAGAAAGTTAGAATACAGGTAATGCAAGGGTTAAAACTCACAAGGCAAGTTGTAGAAAGAAGAACTAACAGATAATGAACTTTAACTCTAGACAAGAAAAAACTTGTATCTCAATTCTCAATTAAATATCACTTGATGCTTTAAGAACAGCAACATAAAGTATAAACTGATGTAGCATACACAAAATACATATTTTGTCAAACTATAGAGCAAAGAGAATATTGCATGAAACTTTTATCTTGCTAAAAATGCCAAGACATACAATTTGTGAAATTTCTCTTCCACCGGGATGGTGTAAACATTCTGCTGAGCATTTAAACCTCCATATGCACCCCTGGAAAAAATTTGTGTTGCCTTAAACAACATAGAAATGTGAGTACAGAAACTTTTGCAGAAGCCAGTTTCGATTCCAGAAAAAAAATAGTGAGAGACACAAATGTACCTTAACTACTTGACTATTAATTGGAGAGGGTGCATTGATGAGAGGCCATTGCACAGAAGAACTAAGAGAATGATTTTCATTGGGACGATCATTATGATTCCATCCAATAACTTGGTACATGGGCTTTCTTTCATGTTCTTTAATTTTCTGCTTAACAGCAGGATTCAGAGCCTCCAATTCATTCAAGGCAATTATCAATTGCTGCACAAATAAAACAAATAAAATAAATCACCACATAGAAAGTTAAACACTCATAGTATACATATGTTTTTTCTGAATCTTCTACAGCTGAAAGCCTGAAACTAAGATAAAACATAAGAAAAGCAAACAACATACATGTAATTTTATTCTTTAATCACCTTTTTCAATAAACTTTTTTTGCTTTGTGGAGATGATGCATATTCCCTATGGCGAGGAATAGTCTCAGATACCAAACTGAAAAAAAAAACAAAAAAAAAAACATATAAGTCAGAACAAATCAACATGTATAGCAGATGTGATTTGGGGGAGCAATAGGTAAATCTCAGATCTTTGTCAATAGTGCAATATCTTGATATTTGAGAAAATATTACCCTAAATTTTATAGGAGTTTCAGACTTTGGGGAGGGATGACAAAAGGGAAGGAGTGGGGGAAGGGGGATACTACACATTTAAGGGTGCTTTTGTGAGATATTGAGGGTGGAAATGAAACTATTTATTAATCACCGAGATTAATTAGTAAGTTCAATGTGATCCCCGGTACGCTGCTATGATTTATTCACTTGATTTCTCACTTATCATGACTTCATAGAATCTTACTAATATGAACTTATTCTTCTTAAATTGAACTTCTTACTTTCTTACAACATTTTTGACTTTGACGCTAGCCAATAAGTTTAAAAGTTGATATCTTCACTATATGAATTGAAACGAACTTACTAAGCAATATCAAAGCATAGTATGTGAATAGTGGAAGAGTCAAATAACAAAGTAATTAAGTTATTTTCAATTAATTGAACTTGAGTAGCCCACTTTTTTCTTGAGTAGAACTTGTCATAATTTTTTTTTTTTAATCTCAATTGAACTTATTTTTCTCGAATTTAACTGATCTGCATTTATCTTTCCTGAAGTAATTAAAAATAAGGTGAACAAAACAAATCCTAAAGAAACCTTTCATATTCTTTTACATTCCTTTTGTCCCGTAAAAGTTACATCAATTTTTCTATCCAACAAAAGGAACCTGAAGTTGATCGTGGCTACAATATATCAAGTATTTCCACAATGTGATCCACATATAATATTCCCATGATTGAAAATATGTCAATTATAAAGCCAGTGCGTAAAATTAACCTTTAATAATGATAGGCAAAATGGTTTTACCTTGAAAATCGTAGAAGCATGACATAGAGGTCTATAATATTCTTCTCATTCCGGAAGATAGTAGCCTGTAAAAGTCACAGTAGCAATATTAAGCAGCAAACAAAGGCTTCAAAACAGGAAAGGAAAACAAAATAAGTAATTAGAATTACTTGAAATTGTAGATAACTCAACTCCTTAGCAGACTAGAATTAGCACATTCTATCATTTTTTATATTATTATTCGATGGCCGTTTAACCAATAACTACATAGACAGATCATCATCAGTAGTATGGAGGCTTCAACAACCAAACCTAATATATATATATATATATATATATATATATATATATATATATATATATATATATATAAATTTTCTTTCCTAATAACTTCTAAGTTACAAATCACTACCAAGGCTTCGTTCTCCTAATCAGAAATATGGAGATTTGGTCTAAATTCATTAACGTCTTGCTTAGTGGTTAGAATCTTTCAAGTTAGTGTGGTTTGTCTTGATCTCCTAGGTTGATTAAATTAAGATCATATTTTTACAGCAATATGTAGGTAACAACATTATTATGTGAGGTATTGCTATGGTTAATTCAATAAGTGGTAACAAATAATGGAAATGAAATTGTATACAATCTGTAAGAATATTAGTGTCCATTCCTATGGTATATAGGCAATACTAGTTCAATCCAAACAACCGTTATTTCCTCAAAAACTTTCATTATCATATAGAGGACACTTATGAACTTATGAAGGAAAACAAGTTTGGGGTGACATTGCATTACTATAGACATAAGTATGTCACACGGCTTCCCAATTACATTTAAATTCATTCCAATTACTGCAATTAACAACTGGCTATAAAACAAGTCAATTAGAGTCGTATTAATAGTTCTTTGATTCTAACAAGAATAAGTAAGAAGTTTTTGAATAAGTTAAAATGATAATAGCCGAAGCAATATCAGAAATGCAGCTCTAACATGACTTTTTCTTCTGTATGATTTCCTTCTTCGATCATCCAAACCAAAATGAACAAGTATAAGAGCCTAGACTTCAACTCACATAGCTGAATACATTAATGTAACTGACTTATGCAACATCTAATCTCCTCAATACTGATTACTGGCATCAATATACACTACCTCCAAAAGACAAATCTAATGGTCATATTATAATTAAGAACACAATCAAACTCCACAGATTTTTGAATACATATATTCCAATATAGTGCTCTGTTACGTTCACCAATGCATAGCTCATTATATACACATACTACCTTCATTTCAAATTATTTGCAGATTTGACATGAAGTGTGAATAGAAAATGTCCAATCGTTACAAATAATTTGATAGAGGTAGAATTACACAAGCAAATGGTACAATAAAATATACAGATAATTAACCAAATCTCAGAAAATTTCCCTCGATTTCATATCAAAACTTACAAAAACCGTACTGAAAATAGAAAATTCTTCGATTTCCACAAAATAATTTGTTTCCACTCATTCCACAATCAATTTTTTGTCATCACAAATCAATCATAAGTCAGTTATAACCAAACCAACCCAAGTTCTACTATAACATAGAAAACAACACAAAGTTCAACCTCAATTTTAGGTAATTTTGATCAACTAAATTCACCAACCCCCAAAAACAGCGAAAATCTACCATTAATAAAATCATACAGAAAATTTAATTCAGATTTGAAGTAGAAGAGTAACCTGTCTGAGTAAATTATCGGCGATCCTGAAGTAGATACGCAGTGAAATGCGATTATCGACGTCAAGCTTCTTAGCGTTAGCAGCAATGTCGATACGTCCAGAAGATGGCCTCATCTTCTCTACTTTTGCAGAATTCGAATAAACCTCAACTTCGATTGATCTAAGCTGGAGCTCCGGAGATGCGCGTCAATGGCGGACGGCGGAGACGGAGGAAGAGAGAGAAAAGAGAAGAAAGATGATACAAGTAACAAGGTCATTCAGAATACCACCAAGGGCATAATTGTATTATGCATTATTTTATTTTGAAGCGTGAAATTTTTTTTTTTTTTTTTTTTTTTTTCAGGTAACACCGTAACAAATAACAATGGACAAATTACGAGGGTGTTGGGGTGAGCATGGATCGCATATCCTAATACTTTCAGTTCAAGTAGTGAAGAGAGAGAAAAGAGAAGAAAGATGATACAAGTAACAAGGTCATTCAGAATACCACCAAGGACATAATTGTATTATGCATTATTTTATTTTGAAGCGTGAATTTTTTTTTTTTTTTTTTTTTTTTGTTCAGGTAACACCGTAACAAATAACAATGGACAAATCACGAGGGTGTTGGGGTGAGCATGGATCGCATATCCTAATACTTTCAATTCAAGTAGTGAAGTAACCGATAACTAATGGCACAAAAAAAATGATATCCACTAACCAAACCGATTAGTTAGGGAGTTGGTCTTGTATTGACCCGGTCTATAATAAATTATTGTAGACCCAAAAATTTGACACTTTCAAATAATATAATCACATTCTAGATGATATAATCACATTTTTAGATGATATAATTATCTTTTTGTGAGTCATATTTTGAATTATATAATCTCATAGTAAATCATTTACTGAGATTATATAATTATCTTTAGGATGATAAAATTTAAAAATCATCTTTTGAACAATGTAATTTACTATTTGATACTTTTTATAATGATAAATTCACTTTTTGAGTGATACATTTACATAGCAGTTTCAGGATGATATAATCACTTTTGTAGTAATATAATCACATTTCGTATGATATAATCACATTCGTATGATATACTAGAAGGTTGGGTCTACAATAAATTATTATAGACTGGGTCTATTCTAGTCTTTATATTAGTTAGGGTACCCGAAGTTTGAATATTTGGATTTCCAAATTCGTTTATCGGATACTCGTTATGATATCCAATAATGAAACTTTGGACTTTATATTATAATTATATTGATATCACTCTGTTAAAGTCAATGTAATCAACACACATGCGCCAAGTACCATTCGGCTTCTTTAGAAGCACCACATTCGCAACCCAATCAGGGAACCGAATGAACCTTGCGCTAACAGCTTTTTAACCTCAACAGTTGCCGCCTGACTTCTCTCTTCACCGTGATTTCTTTTCTTTTGCCGGATGGGCTTCTTTTTTGGATTAACGACGAGTTTGTGGACAACGAGATCCGGGCTGATGCTTGACATCTCTTCCACTTCAAAGGTAAAAATGTCATTGAATTCTTTAAGCTAAAGATGCAAGTCTACACCTGTAGACACCTAAAAATGTCTCCCCAAACCAAACCCGATGCTGAACACCTTTCACCACCACTATTGGTCAGGTTGAGTATTTAATCTTTGGAGTGCTTAAATCCATGTTCTATCCAATATATTTTGTAAACCAATCCAATTTCTAGCTCATTTCCCTAAACAATAACCTATTTTTCACTTTTCGTATCCACATCACAAAACCGGGCTGAACTGATTTTATGGCTATATAATTTTGATCCAATTATTATTTGGTTTGATAGGTCTTGAAATAAGATTTCCAACCATAAATCATAAGCCCAATTCCGAGCTATAACGAAAAAGATATGAGCAAAACACTAAACTCGGCCTAAAACCGACACCCTTCCACTAAAACGGCCATATCTAAAAATATACAAATCATTTTGACCTGATTCTATCTGGGTTGGAAAATAGACTAGTTAGATTTCCAATGACATATTATATGTTATTCTGATTTACGGATTAAAAGTTATCGCAATTTTAAAAACGTGTAAAAAGCTGGAATTACCGCGCACAGTGCAAAAGCACCGTGTCACGGCTCCTGATGACGTGGAACGGTGCCAGGTATCGTGACACGGTACTTTACATTGTGTCACGGTGCTATTTTTGAAGCTTTTTCGCTATAAATTCCACCGTGGCACGGTACCTGTTGTCGTGACACGGTACCTGCTGTCGTAACACGGTATTTCTCACCGTGTCATGGTGCTTTTTCCGTGTAATTTCCGCGTTTTCTTATACCGTGACACGGTGTACCGTACCGTGCCATGTACACCGTGTCACGGTGGACACTGCCGTGTCACGGTACGTGTGCCATGTCACGGAATTTTCTCGTGTCTTTTACGCGTAAACCCTTCACGCGTTTTCACTTCCCGTAGGTCAAATATGTCCCGAGTCACTCCAATTTTCCCCGCGTCACAGGATTTTCCCCCGTCTGACGGTGCCTGGCACCGTGTCACGGTGTTCTCTGCCGTGTCGCGGTGTTAATTTTTAGGGTTTTTTTTTAATCTTTTTAGGGTTCCGTGTGTTCCCTCTATCCATTTTCCCTATAAATACCCCCCTTCCTTTCTGCAATTCTGGGCATCAAATCCTTCTCTCTTTCTCTCTTTTACACCAAAAGTTGTTCTCTTCTCTTTCTCTCATATTCTAAGCCTTAAACCTATATTCCTAATTACACCATTCTTCTCTTAAGCACTCCAAGGAGTCCATACTTAACCCGAGGTTCCGTCCTTGAACCAAGGCGTGAAAGGTACAAATAACCGAGGGTTTGGACCAAATCAACTCTACATTTATTTAATTTAATTATCATTTAATTTATATTTTTTTATTGAAGTTACTAACATTTTATTCATGATGTAGCAATTTTAAGGAACGCGCGGAATGTGAGTAATTAATTCATTAATTACTCTTATTTTATTTTATATTGCTAGTATCGTGATTAGGTTTATTTATTTATTATTTGATTTGACTAACGCTATTATTGTTAAATTGCTTCCAATATTAATGTTTATTCTATTATTATTTATTGATCACCATATTGAATTGCATGTGTAAAGGGAATATGTAACTGAAAATCACGCCTAATAAGATAATTTGGATGACCAGATTAGGTTCCTTTTTAATCTTGTAATTAAATCAAGTGGTCATTAATATTTTAGAATTATATGTTGCATTAATATTCAACCAATTTTGCTTAATAATAGTTTGGAGCAAAGTGAATATTTTGTTTGTATGCCTTTGAGATCGCAGAAATCACTTTTCACTATAAGAATCGAGTAGAGGCCAATACGGGCGAATGTGCTCCATGACTCACTTCGTACCATCATCCCCGATCCTCCTTTCATGGTTCCGAAGCATATGGAGTTAGTAATCTCATGGATTATGAATGGGGTGTAACCTTCACGGGTCAATCGTTGTTGCCTATCGTTGTCTCTTTATCGTGGTTGCCTTTTATGATCCGTAAACGGTTTACAATTTCCTTAAAAACTTGTCGACGGCTCCCTACTTTCCTTGTCCCTAATCGTATATGTCAATTCCCACTTCCTATGAGTGCCAAGCATATTCACCACATGCTTTAACGTTGGCGCACTTCGAGCGACGCCTACAGCACCCAACTTTGCAAAAGCAACCGTCCCCACCAGCTACTTGTCAGATGAATATCAATGTGTTGTCCAGAAGTATATCAATGTGTTCACCGGCCACTTGGGGACGGAGGTCGTCTGACCGTTCCCCGGTCAGTGTTACTATTGCTTTTCCTTTTTCACCACCACCAGATGGTCAGCTTTTCTCTTTTTTTCCAACGGCTGGTGTAATACCCCGTATTTTTATACGTATTTTATTTTAAAATATGTATTTTATAAAGTATTTGAATAATTTTAATATCTTAATTATGGTATTTTAACTAATATTTTTATAAAAGTAAAGTTTATTTAATTTCTTTATTTATAAATGTTGGGGTTTTATTTTAAGAAAGTTTAATTTTAACAAGTTTTATTAGGGAAGGAATTAGGAAAAACTAAAAGAGGGAAGTTTAGGGAAAAAGGGATTGGTAGAGAAGGGGTATAAATATCCCACTTGTGAGGCAAATCAACTTTGCCCAGAGTGGAGAAAAACCCAAGGTAAACTTCTCTCTCTCTTCTCCTTATTTTCTTTCTTTTTCTTTTCCCCTTTCCCTTTCTTTTTTCGGTTGCTCTGTTTTCCACCCCCCTCCACCGCTGCCAGCAGCGTCAGCCGCCGGCAGCAGGTGGCTGACGTGCCTCCTCTTCCCCTTTTCGAGTGTAAAAAAAAAAATTAACTTTATTGTTCTAATTTAATCTATATTCAAATCTAATTGTAAATTATGAGTTTTGGGATTTAATTTTGATGTTTGATTATAATAATTATGTTGATTAATTTTCAGATTTGATTTTTAATTAAAAAGCCCCAATATTTGAAAACCTAGGTTCTTGATTTATGAGTTATTGAAGGATTATGATGTATATTGGTTTAAATCTTTGTTTCAAGCGTTTTAAGGCTTAATTACAACAAGTTTTAATTAAAATTAAGTGCTGGAATTTTATGTAGAACACTTAATATTGTGTTTCTTGAAGGAATTTTAATTACCCATTAATTGGGACTAAATTATGGTGTTTTAAAAATAATTTCAGCTTACTTTAATTAAATTATGAGGGGTTTTAAAATAGTATATATTGCTGGAAATTTGTTTAGAGTGGATTTTAATACTCTATTATGATTTTATTGTGTAGGAGACTTCGAAGTAAGCAATGTCTATTAGTTGTGGCGATTTTAAGATCGTACTCAAGGTACGTTCGTGTACTTAGCATATTTTGATGATGTAGAATCATGCTAGGCTTGATTTCAACCAATTACAAGTAATATCATGCTAAGGGTTATGTATGGAATTGTGAAGTATTGGTGTTGGTGATTGAATTGTGAAGCATGAATTATTTGTGATGGTTTATGGATTTGAAAATTAGATTTTGGCAAGATTATATGGACTATACTTTTAATTATGGCATGTTAGAGTGCATATTTAATTAAACTACATGTTTAATTTGGCTTGGAATATTGTAAAGGAATTTTATTATGGTTCATATAATTTTTATTGATGCTTTAAGCATGAGGAAGGAGCTATATAAGTGTTTATGTACACGAGGAATAAATTGTATGTTGGTGCCTTTGTGCACTTAAGGTGCTTTTAACACCAAGGGATAGGATTTTTGGCGCTTTATGCGTTTAAGGTGTCTTTGACACTGAGGTAGAATTAAAAGGGGTTCAATATTAAATAATATGTGGTCACTAATTATTCAAGAATTAAATTGGTATGTTTGGTTGATTGAATAATTATTGTTGATTGATTTATTATGCTTTGAGAGTCATCACCAAGTCCAATAACATGTAAATAACGTAAAGTGAAAGAGATTACGCACCAAAACTCTTGGAACGTATATAACTTGAGTATGAACAATGGGGGGAGTTATGGGGTTTTATATTTAACCATAACTTCTAATGGAGTACAGGATGCTGTACATTCCTTTTTATTTATTATTATGCGCAGGATTTCCGCCACCTTTGAGTGGTTTTGTCGCTGGAACGGTTAGCTCCCGTGTCAGTTAACCTCAATTTATTTGGGGGAGG